GTTTTATTGAAATTTATTCTGTCACAGGAAGTTGATTAATCTGTTGTATCTTATTATTGATTTAACAAGAGAGCCTGTATTTTATGACAGTTTTTTTTTGTTTATTTTTGTAGTTGAGGATAAACTTGCTCATCAATATGGTAATACTGTTAAAATTAAATTTCTGTTACATGTTTATCAAATCTTTTTTTTATTTTTTTTCTCTTTTTTTTCCAGTCATGAATCAATATTTTCATGTTGTGTTTTATTCTGAACAAATTACACAGTCTTTTTTCTTTGTTTTAAATACATGGAGTTTTAGTCCTTGTGTTGTCATGGAAAAACCTTAAGCTAATACTTTTACACATAACTGTTATTATAAATGTAATATTATTTTGAGTTTCCATGATAAATGTCCATCTACAATTGTTAATCTTTCTCTAAATTTGATACTTTTTCTTTTTCGTGGTTGATAAATTTACTGAACCTCGCTTTGAAGAAACTCGGTTTTCTATATTTCATTGTGATGTCAGTGTTTTCATTCACCAAGTTTAAAAGCAGTTTTCTTTCATGGTCATAACACTACACATCACAAAATAGACTGGATAGATCAGGAAAGTGGCATCATTTACAGCCGCTGTTATTGCTCACTGATGACTCCCTAAAGATGCCCCATTTCCTTCGCTTCACTTCAATACTCTCATTATCTTCTTCCTCGGTATAAAAGTTTTCTAATTGTTTTCTTGTACTGCCGTTATCGCTGATTAAAATTTTCTCGTATCATATACTCCCTTCCCCAACATCACAGGATCTTTCCAAATTAACGGGTTCTGATATACTGAAAACATTGTTATTTTGACGCAATCAATTTTCAGCGCAATATCAACTGAATATGAATATCATATGAATTCACGCATCGAAATAATTGCTGAATTAATGAAACAGAGAAACTGCAGGTAGCACAATTACAATTTATCACGACTTCAGTTTGAAAAGCGCAAAATCAACATCACCCCCTATCCCATCATCCACTGAAAATATCCTTTTTATTGAATTCTTCTAAAGTCTTATCTTATTTTCGATTTTGTACCATCTCTTATTCCTTTTCTGAAAACAACTTTTTTCTTTAACAAGAGTAAACTGCCAAGAGATATCAAACACAGTGACCAAAGAAGTATTCTGCTTTTGTTTGGTGACTTCAGTATAGAAGACTAATATGAGTCCAGGAATAAGTTTTTACGTGTCCTAATGTTGGGAATTATTTTATTTTATCATATTTTTCCACAAAAAACAATCTGATTGTTAATATATTTGAACAGTATCTATATTTTCTGGATACTATTTTGATAACACCATAAACTACCTGGTAATAGTGATAGGATACCTGTCGTATCATCAATAATAGCAGATATTTATGATACCTTTCAAAGACACTGATAATAGCAAATGTTTATGATACCTGTCAAAGACACTGATAATAGCAAATATTTATGATACCTGTCAAAGACATCGATGATAGCAGATATTTATGGTCAGAGTGAAGTACAAATCCAAGATGGTGGATACACTAAGATCATTCTCAGCCTACATTGGCTGTCATGTTTATCCCTTTACCATCAGAGACAGACTGAAACAAAGGGCAATAACTCTGGGAGATCAGAATGAACAAGGATTAGAAGGATACATACATTTTATATCCCCTTTTGGTAAGGGGAATACATGGCGGTCATACTCTCCAGAATCTATCGTGTCACCTGTTTGTTGTTGTCGGTTTTCTACCAGTTGATTGACTCCATGGATACCATCCAGGTTTCTTGGTGATTGTACCTCACACACTACTTATGAACAGAGACACTAAGAGATAGGAGACCAACGCTACAATCATTTCAGTACCGATATCTTCTTGGATGGATAGGTATTTGGTAATCAACAGAGGTCCTTCCTTGGTGGTCAACATACAATTTATATTGAATTTATGAGCAAAGGATGGTAAACATTGCTTCAATGTACTGATATATTTTTGCTCTCAATATATGATAGTCTCCCCACAAAGTTGTTAATGCTCAATTTAGATTGACAGGTGCGTTATTATTTACAAAAATTCAACATCCTTTCTTTTATTATGAAATCATATTTAGTCTGCAAGTAGAATTCTTAGAGGGAAGATCAATCGTGTTTTGTCACGAAAACCACATTTTCAATCTTACATTTTTTTTTTTTGTTTCATGTTCATACCACAAGAGTGAAAGACATCGTTCTTTTGTCCATGTGTTTCTGTTGTGACACTTTTTACTCCATTTCCATTGAAATGAAAATATCTTTGAACAAATATTAAGAATATTGCTGATCTTTTGCACCTACCTAATGGGTCAGGCAATCAATGTGTATGAACCTTTCAAAGGCTAAAGGTCAAAGATCATTAGGTTATCACAAAGGTCAATTAAGGGAATAATATTTCATATTTCAAATGACAATAATAACAATCGTATACATGAGTTTCGGTGTTATAATGAATATTGATGGTCCTCATTTGATAACATTTACATTGTCATGGATAAAAAATAAGTCGCGTACTGTTCTAAAACACTCGGTTGTTTTCACTTTTTGCAAGGCTGTCCTTGTAAATTCTTATTTTGTTCATTGTTTCTGCTCGTTTCGTCAGTTTTTATAGTTTGAACATGTCGGGTATCTTGGACTACATAATAAAGATATTTCTACATGTACGTAAGATTTGAATGAATGACTGATTACTACATGTGGTGTCGGAATAATTAATCCAACACTCTGGATGATGATTATTCACGAATTGGTTCATTTATACTTTTTCATCAGAAAATATAGATTTTATGTCAGATGATAGCATGTTAAGTAATTGTGATTCAAATGAAGTAAGTTTCTTTTCATTTATCCGTGGTATGGAAGATTACATATGTGTACATTTTAACTATTTGTTTTTGTCTTGTAAAATACAGTATACATGAAATGTTGGAGCTGTTTGTATGCAAATTAAGACTGCTTGAAATTAATGTTTTTGTAACATGAACATTAAAATATTAAGATATATCTTCGCATGGGTTTGTCAGGGCGCCAGGGAGTTTGTCGTCAGCATGAAAACCAATAGCAGTGAGCATTTCTAACAAACTAATTTTCAAGCATGTGTATGACCAAGATCAACAGATTCTTGCTGTGTCAGGTGCTTGGATCTATATATATATACATGTCTATCATCACGTTCTATATACTCAGTGCATATGAGATTTATTTCATTAATGTATATTACTTTCACTAACATCATATCATATGTGAGATAATATCTGGCATGCAGACAAACTTGTAAATTGTATTGAAATGGACAATTATCTGGTTCTTTTTTTAGACAACTATGATTCATTTCCTGTTTGTACCTTCTAGCACTTCAGCTGGGCGATCACGTCCCAAAATTATTGACCAGTGCCAATTGCAAAGTTATTGTCAATTCCAATTGTCTTGTGAGCAAAAATAAGTTTATAATATAATGAACTACAATAAAAATACAAATATAGAAACAAACATATCATTGTACAGTCTTTGTATGTATGTTTACTTAAATGTCAATGCTGGATAGAATTAAAAGAGATGATAAATGCTTCTCCAGGGTTGGCACGTCTAAATACACGAGTCAATAAGGCCGTTATGAGATGTAGTGATATTTATCATGTAGGTTTTCTAGCTGGACTACTCGTCTCCACTCATTAGTAGTAGATGTTAGAATCGTAGCGCAGCCTCTCAGTTCTGTTTTTGACAAAGTCTTGAACTTGCTTTTCTATCTTGCTGGTTCATTAGAGAATGAATGGAACTTGTCTTTCAGTCCTTCTAAGTAGTTAACAATAAATCATCATTATTTTAATTCAGTTGGTACATCTTTAGAGTCCAATCTTTGCACTTCATGCAAGAGAAATTAATTTCTATGACATATGTCTCTTGGAAAATATGAAATATTTTTACTTGTAAAAGCACATCAAATGTATGCATTGTTTAGGTATCAAAGCTTTGCAGATAGTTTGTATTAACTGGTCAGGGTATTTTAAGAGTTCACTGTATTTTTTGTCTTTTTTTTCCTTAGAAATTTCAGGATCAAAAAGTTGATTCAATTTACTTGAAATGTTAAAAAAAAAAATTCTAAGGAAATTTGATCTCTATTTATGGCATTCATCATCCATTAAGAATAGATTTGTGCGGAAAAAGAGAAGATTTTTTTTTTTTTTTTTTTGTAACATCACAGGGAAAATAATTTCAATATTTCTTCCAGCTGCATAATTATGTTTTATTAGGGAGTTTTCATCTCTAACAAATAAAGGGAGATAATTTATATCTTTGCTGAAGACTGTTAGCGCTTACTTAGTAACAGGATTATTTATATATCATATATTATGAACAATTAGATTTATTGTTTAACATTTTTTCATTTTTTTCATTTTTCATTTTTTAATCACATGACTTATTAGGTTTTCATTTTTGTGTAGAGATAAAGTTTTCATTATCAAATTTTTGTGTAGAGATAAAGTTTTCATCGACAAATTTTTGTGTAGAGATAAAATTTTCATCATCAATTTAAAATTTTCATTATCAAATTTTTGTGTAGAGATAATGTTTGATTAATATGTATTCATATGATATTTCCTGTAGAAAAGTCTTTTTTTTTTTTTTCAATTAAAAGAATTTATTAAACCATTTCAAACCAATTCCTTACGTTTTTCTCATGATTTAGCAGTCGGAGGCTGTTCGTTTATCACTAACAAATATTCAAAAATGTACGTTACTATCGACACCAGAATTTTACATCATCATCATCACTATAAAACATACCAAGTTAATTTATCCTCAACATACAATGAATCATACTGCTGAGTTTACACTGTAGATATTAGAACAATATGGTCAGAACTGAAACCAAAAATTCTATCTTGAGTATATAAGGTCAGATTTATAGTGATTTTAACATGATTTTACAGGTGAATTTTGATTTTGGTTTTTGTACACAGGTAATACAGGTACCCTGCCTACAGCCTTACCTACAGACCCAACCAACGGCCAAGTTTATCATCCTCCGTTAGACAAACCTTTAGGTAAGTTGGCCAAAAACTGTAAAAGTTAGCCAAATTTAGACACCAACATTTACTCTGTTAGACAAACCTTTAGGTAAGTTGGCCAAAAACTGTAACAGTTAGCCATATTTAGACACCAACATTTACTCTGTTAGACAAACTTTTAGGTAAGTTGGCCAAAAACTGTAAAAGTAAGCCAAATTTAGACACCAACATTCACTCCGTTAGACAACCCTTTAGGTAAGTTGGCCAAAAACTGTAAAAGTTAGCCATATTTAGACACCAACATTTACTCTGTTAGACAAACCTTTAGGTAAGTTGGCCAAAAACTGTAAAAGTTAGCCATATTTAGACACCAACATTTACTCTGTTAGACAAACCTTTAGGTAAGTTGGCCAAAAACTGTAAAAGTTAGCCATATTTAGACACCTACATTTACTCTGTTAGACAAACCTTTAGGTAAGTTGGCCAAAAACTGTAAAAGTTAGCCATATTTAGACACCAACATTTACTCTGTTAGACAAACCTTTAGGTAAGTTGGCCAAAAACTGTAAAAGTTAGCCATATTTAGACACCAACATTTACTCTGTTAGACAAACCTTTAGGTAAGTTGGCCAAAAACTGTAAAAGATAACTCTCTATGTTCATATAAGAAAGACAACATGGACAACAAAAGTAAGAGAACCTATCAACACTCTAAAGCAATCCACCTTGGTCATAAAGCCTTCTTTGGCAGAGTGACGTAATATTTCTCTGTCTTTACTTATTAAGAAGCATTCAGGTTGTTCTTTTTACATGTGGTTGATATGTGATACTTTTATGTTCACGGAAGTTTCCATGATGGAGTTGAACATCATCCATTAACATTTTCGTATGTATGAAAACCATTACCAGTGATTTCCACGGGCAATGACGAAATCAAATTGTAATATGTATGATCCTAAGCCCCTTTGGGGCTGAAGGGCAGGGTTAAAGGTTGACAATTTGCTGAAATTTCAAAATACATAGAAACAAAACAAAATCTCTGCATGTATTGAAAGGTCTTGTTGTGTTGTGTAAAAAAAATCCCCAGAGGTTTTCATTTCTCTCTTGGTATGAAAACAAACATGGTGGACCCCACCCATGGAGATACTGTAGAATGAAAAACTCATCAGTGAAGGAAAGATCAAATCATCAGGGTTTTTTTTTAACTCCCAGGTCCCCTATTTCTCTCAATGGAATGGATTCATTTTACTTCATTACTTTATCAATAACTTTCGGGTATATTTTGTTTATTTTCAGTGGGAAATAATCCAATCATGATTAGAATTATTGTCATCAGTGTGATGGTATGAGAAAAAATATTTGGAACCAACCCCTAGGGCCTGCACATGTCATTTTCTTCACTTGTATATTAACATATTTATGTAAAAGCTGTGGAATGGTGTCAGAAGAAAATAGTCCATCAGACACTTTGTACCTAAGGAAACTTAATGAATTAATTCAGAGTAAAATGAAAATTCTTCACTTTGTATCATATAAAAATGAATTTGATTCCTGGAGCTGTTTTTGAAGAAATAAAATGATTTGGTGTTTTTTAAAACAGGTCCAAGACCATTTCCACCCAAAAATGTCACAGCCAGAAATGAAAATGGTGGGATTCGAATTTCGTGGGAGCCAGCAAACGCTGCCAACACCACCATATTTTATTACGTCATCGAGATGACCACAACCAATCGCTGGGTGAAATTTAATGACCACGTCAAATTCCCGCTGTCGTCTTATTTCTACGAAAAGGTTGATCCTTCCACAACATATCGGTTTCGAGTTTATGCCTACAGTGTGTTGTCATACAGTTACCCAAGTGCCGTCGCCATAGTAACAACACCTGCTGCAGGTAAATAAGACCCTAATGTTTTATTTTAAGCAAAAGGTGAAGCGAATTTGCAAATAAATGAGATTTGAGTGACAGCAGGTAAAAGCCAGTGTAACACCAAAATATTTTGGCCTGTCTTTTACAAACTTTACAAACCACAAGAAAGATTTTTAAATAAACAAAGACCATTAGGTCTCATATCACATCTTTTTTTAAAGTGAGACTTACAAGATATGAAATTAACTTCTGATTTTTGTCTTTGAACTAATCAATTTAGACAACTACTTCCATTTTCATGTTATCAGAACAAAGTGAAATAGACATGTATACCTAACCTATTCCACGATTCACAAAATTTCTCATAAAACAATTTCAAAAATGAACAAGCATTTTATTTTTAGTCTATCTATAAATTTCATGATGTCCATAGATTGTAAAATGTCATTTTGGTCGTATTTCAATTTTTAATTTGAACAAACTTAAAGAAGAATAAGTTTTATTTTTTGCCTTAGTTCTGCATTATATAAAATATGATATTTAAATGTATACTGAAATGTGTGGCTTATAATAAGTTGCTAATGTATAAGAAATGAGTTTCAAACTAATTGAAATTTTAATTTTTTTCTGTTAGCTTGATTAAATGAATGCTTTAACGTATGAGCTCTGGGTTGGCACATTCTTTGATATACATATATGTACAACACGAAGCATAGAGTGATGCCCATGTATGGTTGTTTGTCATGTGATATTAACCCTCACTGCTCTATATGCTACCATTCACGTCCTCACTATGTAAAGGGACATAACTTTAAAAGTTATGTGTAAAAAAAGTTTGATAATTCATTAGAGAACTTAGGCTTCACTCGAATAATGAAAAAGTGGAATCATTTATTTTTAGCTAAACAAATTCTATTTATATCTAAATTTATGAATTTAAGAAGATTACATTGTGATATCTGTGCCAATGTTCCAAGGAAAAGAACAAATGAGCTGTTGTGCGAAGAAAGATAACTCTTATTAGGTGATGTACAACTGCTTAGAACAAGGTGGTATGACAGGCCAACAAGAACATTGCACTACCAGATATTTAAAATGGATAAAAGGCTTGCGAAACCAAAATGTTGATGTGATGTAGGTAGTGACTCAAATTCCAAGATAATGAAATAATTCACTTGTGCGTTACTTAGATCAAAAACTAACTTTGATACACAATTTAATTAACAATGTACTAAATTATATTTGCTGTGAAGCAAATGTTACTTTTTAAGAAACAGCGAAAGCAATTTCTTAACAAAAAAATATTGCTCGATAATATCTTACAGGAATGAGGGAAAATTCTGTTGTATACCTTTATGTTACAGTACAATTTTACTGAAGTATGTACCATATCTCAAACCTATTTGACAGGTTAGGAAGGGGTTGTTACCAATTTTTATAATCCACATGTAAAACATATAATGCTTTGGTTAAAACATTTCAATATGATTTTGTCTGTATTGGTTAATACTTGGCTGATGTTTAACACCAGATTTGGTTGCAACATGCTAAAAATTTTCTTCACATCGGCGTAAGTTTTTCATTCTTATGGGGGAAAATTTTGTTTTCACTGTTTCAACACTTTGAAACAAAATTTTGTGAATTACTATTATGCAATCTTGTACAAAGAATGATAACTCCGGTTAGGTGATGTACAACTGCTGAGTGTAATACCAAGGTGGTATGACCAGCCACTCAGATCAGGAGAGTTACTTTTACGCAAGCTTGTACTAGATAGGAGTATGGGTAAACCAGGCAGCACTTTGATGTTTTGGATTCAATATAACATAAATTAAGATTTGATATATCCCATAACTTGCTCATAAAGTTGATTTTATACATACTTGCCAACCTTCAGTTTTGAAAGAATACATATGATAAAAACATTAATTGTAGTTTAAAAATATCAGCAGCACTTCTGAATTATTCCAAATTTCAAGATTAAAAAAAAACACGCCATAAAAAGTATTTTGAAAAATGTCGAGGAAATAAAATGCACTTTTCTAGCCTTACATGAATAAACTATGTGAACTTTTCTGATTTTTAAATCTTTTGTAAATTTCCCCCTTGAAAGTTTGGAAAGGTTGGCTTGTATGATTATACTAATATTAACCAGCATTATCACACTATAACTTGCCTTTGCAGTGACAACCAGTATTAGCATGGCCGATTTGGAAGCCGGTATATACATTTCTTGGAATTATTTTTAAAATCGTTTTTGTTATCCCCTTATTTCGGTTCACCCGTTTTGTTTTTATGCCATGTTTTATCCATAATTTACAGTTGTGCATTGTCAATGAGAAACACTATGATGTGAAATATAAGCATGAGTGGATATTCTAGATATGAACAACACCTAAAATGATTTTTTCCTTTTTTTTCTTTTTTGTCGGTTTGGCAGGCACCTGCAGGAATTTAATTGTATTACACTAATGTAATGAGAAAATTACTAGACGTCCTTTATTTAAGTTTTTATGATTTTGGATTTTAGACCAAAGTCGTCCATAGTTTTAGAGATATAAACGTCTTTAAAGAAAATATGTCGTCTAAGCTACTTGTTATTGTATTATTGATGATTCTGTGATAATTTTGTCACATTTCATGGTGTGGGTCTTCATCAAACCAAAACTATAAACAAATATGGTATACTATCCCATCTTTTAAGCTGCCAGTATTGGTCAGGCTGCTGTATAAGGTCTATCAGTTAATACGTTTTCTGTTGTCAATCCTCATCATTGTTAGGTAATTATCATACAGCAGTGATAAAAATGTTGGTATCAAGTAGGACTTATGACACATGCTTGGTATAATTGGTTCTTAGAAATAGGATTGGATCTGAAATTAGCCTGCTCGAAAAACCTGCCATGTCTAGCTTTTTCTGGAATTTTTTCAATTTTTTCGATTATATTCAAAAGCATTGCCTCTTATTACTTATTTCAATTGTTACGACTTATCTGTCTTGGAGACTATTTACATTCACTCTCATATGAATACAATTACGTAAAAATTAATATGATAATGAGAAGTGAACACACTGGGTCATTTTGACTGGTAAGGTGGTGACTGTGTTTCAGGTATACATATATATTAGTATAGCTCTCCAGCAATGCATGTCATTGCCACAATATGTTCCACCCATAAATATTTTTATTTGTTTTTTTATTTATTGGTTATTATTGATATTATTTTACAATATTTCCACCATTTTTCCATTTCTTTTGTACTTTATTATGATGCCAGCATACCTTTAATCACGCTTATTTGTTTAAGGACAGAAACATTTTGACATTAAAAGAAGCATAATTGAATGAAGTCTTTTCAAATTTTGGGTTAATAGCAAATCATTTGTAGGAATTTGAAATAAATTTAATTAAAGTTAACTTTATTTTTATTCAACATTATGATGTCAGTGTATTTTATTAAATAAATATGGGGTAACCAGACATTTTATTCATGAAAATAGAATTAGTCTCCAGATTTTGAAAATGTTTCCATACCTAACCTTTCTTCAAATCTTGTTTAATTTTTTTTTTCTATCTACATTCAGCAATATTGCATTACAATAGTAAGTAAGATTTATTTTAAAAGACGTCAGGGGATGATCGAAAATAGAAAAAATTATTCACTTGTCATAAAAATCATATCAGATGATGTGGAATTATGGGGATGGTTTTCTCAACCATAATGAATTTGAATATTTGAATTTTCATCTTAAAACATGACTTTTAAATGATATTGAAATTTTGTTTTATAAAAATCATTGTATATTAAATTTACTAATACAACAAATAAATGATTTGGAATGTGAAAGCGAAATTCAAAGAAACCAAAAAAAAAAGATGAAATATTAAAAAAAAATTTATCAGAGATATTTGAAATGATGCATAGAATATCATAGCTTAGGTTCATAATTTTATATGGCAACCCTTTTTTTACTGGTTTTCTTCGTTGCTGTTCCTTATTCGTTCCCAAGTCTGTGTGTCGGAAATGTGTTGTCTGTATGTATATTGCCAGATCTCTGTTTTGAAAATAAACTTTAAATGATGTCATTATCCAAAGGTTATGACAAAATTTTTTGATAACAACCTCACAATACAATGTTTTTATTTCCCTTTAAAAAAATTAATTTTAAAGCGAGACTTTCATCAGTATTCAAACAAAATTTTGTTAAAATGACAATTCATCCCGAGGATCTATGCTACCTTTGATAATGACTTTTTTCTTGTTATTTCTGATATATACTTAGATTTTCAATAAACAAATTTCTTGAATGGTATCATATGATACATTTTAGAACTGTAGAAATATGTTGGTAATCAAAGACCATCTTTCTGAATAAGAATTCATAAAATTCATAGATTTGTTAGATTAATCTAAATAGATAGCTTTTTCCAGTAAGGTAGCATACATCTTTAAGTATATAACTTGTATATGACGGATCAGTGTTAATACCTCTATGTTGTATTTTCTTAGAACCATCAGGCATATTCCTGTCCCAGGCAGAAATAGGAGGAATAGTGGGCGGATTGCTGTTTCTTCTCGTTGCTGTTCTACTCGTAATCATTGCCGTAATCTGTAGTAAACGCAAAGAAAGACATAGGGGAGATAAATATGGTAAGCATGCATTGTTGACATGTTAAGAATAAACTGGCTCGCTGCCAAATGGAGATAAGATTTTTGACTAATTGTCAGATTAAAATGGATGGATATTAATGCTGGTGTAAGGAGTTCAAGTGCTTTTTCCATTAACATAACAATTGAAATCTTTTGTCTCTGTAATTATTTTAGGTCACAAGAGACAAAGTCTCAGGGTGACCTATTGTGGTACCCTTATGTCCAGCATCATGCTTCGTAAACTTTTAATATTTTCAACTTCTTCTGGAAAACTCCTGAACTGTTTTCAATGAAATTTTACAAAAATATTCCATGGCTTAAGGTGCACCAATATTGTATATTATATGGTCCCCAACCCCAAGGGGATTGAGGGGCGGGGCCGAAAAGTGTCAAATTAATGGAAACTTCAGAAATCTTCTTCTCAAATCCTAGGTATGGTAGAATCAAGTATTCTTCATGGATAGAAAGGCCTTCAGATGCTTTACCAAAATTGTAAATTTCGTTACCCCATAGTGTTACATTACAATATAGTTAAAGTTATGTTACATTTTTTATTAGCAAAATCATTTCTATGACATGTTATAAGAACCATTATGACTCAGGTGACCGTTAAGGCCCATGCGCCTCTTGTAAATGTATATTTTAAAGTTATATTTCAAAATTAGAATTGAGATCTTTTGTCATTCATAAAATTGTTGATACTATACAAGCATTATTAATCTGTTTCGTTCATTTTTTTTTTGTAGGAAATGTCAAATATATTGGTCCAGCCGATGAGATGGATTCACACATGCCTATAAATAGAACGTGAGTATATAAACATTCAATTTATAGTAACATATATTAGGGTTATATATATACTTGATACAAAGCTGTATATATTGTATAAAGGGTTATGCATATATGTATATATTGATTACATGGTAACTGTGCACAAAGTATACAATATATTAACATTGGATGTATCGTAACCAATGATCAAAAGTTAACGATCCATGCATGGAGTTATCATATTTCTGTAAATATATATAGTTGAATTTATTGCTAGTTTTACTTTGAAGTCTAAAGAGAGTAATGAACATATAAATCTTTGTAAAAAATTTAATCAAAAATTTGTTTCATTTGATATCACCATGGCAACAACAGGATAGACAAGAAAGGTGAAGTAATGCAAACAAACTGGCTGAAATTTTAACCCCACTGTCATGTGATTGGTTAAAGTTGCCCTGCATGAAATTCTTGTCATTAGTTAATATTGTTATTGAAATTGTTACGTTATAGAGTTGTGAGTTATGTGCCCTTGATTTTTATTGGCTGTTTTTTTTATCACATTTCTGCTGGTGGCCCTATTGATTCCTAACACTTTGTGTCCTTTAATGCTTTACAGACCTTTGTTCTTCCTTTGTTTCTTTCTTTGTTTCTTTCTTTGCACTCTCACTTTAACTTATCCTTCAACAAGAGGTGTCTGAACCTCAGGCTTTTTTTCAAAACCTTTCCTTTTAGATTTAGGCAGACGCTTGGTTAATTATTATCAGTAAAACTTAATCACCTTTAACTGTTGAGGGTTTTTTCCTTTGTGTTTATAATTCTTCAATTTGCCTGCAAAATGCTGCTCTACGTCCAATTAATTGATTCTATTACTCATCTTTAAATTTTTCCTCATTTTCTCTGCCAAATTGACTTTTTCACTGCAGCCTTTTCTTCTGAAAAATCCTATATGTTAATGTTACTTTCTTTTTATATCAAACCAATTTCTCCTCCATTTTAATGTTACCAGCGTACTCCTCCTATCTCTTATGAATAAGTTCCTTCCTCTGATTTTCTCCTCAATTTCCAACTGTTAGTTAGATATATTCACAAAAAAAAACCTTGATTTTCATCACTGAATAATGTACATTCACTTATTTTGCCTGCTAATTTAAATCAATTTTTCTATTTCATTTCAAATTTCCAAGACATTTTCATTCAAAGTTCCACAATCTGAAATTCCATTCATCCCAAAATCATGGGAAAATTTGCTTCCTTCAAATGCGCTAAAAATTAATTCATCGTAACGAATTTCACACATGTCCAATGAGGATTCAATTTTTTATCAGGGACATACCAATTAAATTCGATTCTACGTTAATATTTGATTTTTCACCAAATTTCCTTCTTTTGCTGATCATACTCATTAGACAGTGCTTTCTTTAAGTTCATTTTCGTATAAAAATATGTCGAATCCTCTTTGTTAGCAAACACTAATATGTTGTCATTTGTCTTTAAACTATTTTTTCTCTCAATGTCTTCCTTACTTATCAACATCATTCTAATTCATGTAACTCTAGCAGTTCGATGGCGCTGAAGTTTTTTTTTTCTATGATATTTGTAAAACTTAATGTAACTCTTTTTATTGATATGATTTTTTCACATAAAAAATATCAACGAAATCGCAATGTAAATTTTTCCCATTTTAAAAATTAATTTCAAGTATTTTTAAAAGTTGTTTTTTAAACAATGGCAGTTATCAATGCTAATTAAATGTAAATTGAATGTTTGATTTTTTTTTTTCTTACAGTCAAAATGCGCCAGAATGGGATAGCTGGGACGCGATTGGAGGAACAGGCTCTTTGAATAGTATTGATTGTGGAAACGGGATATTTGTGGTACCACATTCCAACGAATTCTACAGGGAGGACACTTTACCAGTGAGCTCATATTTTCAGGACAGCAAGCTGTTTGATCCTGATAAGTGTTTGTTTGATCCCAATAGGAGTGGTCGGAGTGTATCTCGCAGTTCTAATGGGAGGCGCTCCCAAACTGGGAGAGGTCGATTTTCTAAACCTGACACAAGTGGCAGACATATAAGTGGCAGAGACAGTGTGTCAGGGAGTGTCAGTGGCGGCGGGGACAGAGGGGAAATGGGTAGACGCAGGACGTCTGCTGTAAGGGAGGTCACTCCCATAGACAAACAGAGCCTACCACTCTCTGTCACTCGCCTGCAGGACAGGTCCTACCCCATGCTCCGTTCGCCTGTGTCAGACAAAAACTATGACAGTGATGCTGATGATGAATCAGATGACGAGAACGGGTTTGCCCCTAAGAGGCCGCCCCTTCCTCGGGGGTACAGGGTGCCCTACAAGCCAGAGGTGTACATGGGGCCACACCACCACTGGGGCAGCGGTGACCCCTATAGTTACCCTGGTGACACAGATGATGTGTTCAGCCCACCAGCGGGCAATAGATCCATAAAGGATCGACCAACATTCCCAAGGCATAGTTCCATGAAACCTGCGTCATATCAAACATATTTGACTGGTGATCCAGTCGATGAAAGCTTTGGTCATCAATTTGGTGTGGAAGATTTGAGTTCAGTTCATCAATCATTTGTAGATAGGTCATTAGATAAATCATCAGAAAGGTCACATGACACACTGCCGAGGCTACATCCTCTGTCCAGGCCTGATTTTAGTGGGCCACAAACATTCGATTTTTCTAGTTCAAAGTCGTCGGACAATACCTTTCTTGGCGATGGGTCACAATCCACATCTAGAGTTCATTTTGACAATTCTGGTTTTACAGTAATTGAAAGGACACTAGATAGGAGTTCTGGACGAGGCCGCCAGGTTGCTAGGGTTCCTCCCAACCAAAAAGATGATAAAGTAGGAAAATCAGGCTACACACGGGAGCATCTCCAGGGGGCAGTTGACCGTGTGCGTCGTGGACCACGTGCTCTACGGGCACGTTCAGCCAGCAGGAGTTCTGCTCAGGAACTTGATCATAGTTTTGATGACAGACTGCCACCGGTGGTGCCAGGAAGAATAACATATTTGTCTGATAGTGTACTTCCCCATCGAACAGGAACATCACAATATTGTGAACAAGATCCTCCTCCACCTCCACGCAGAGGTCGACTGTCTCATTCTGATAACGAATTTCCGTCCAGGACAGATACAGACCGCCAGGGTTGGCCGTATGGGTACAATTTTGACTTCATTGACTCATTTAAGTCAGATAAGGGGACTGGTAATAGATACAGTATTAGCAGCTCAGGGCGAGGAAGTTCCAGCAGTCGTATGCGACATTCTTCAGATACACGGGGCTTGGCTGGGGATGACACTACGCCAGATTCTGGCAGTAGTGGTATTGGCAGCAAGAATACTGGATCATCAGGCCTGTGGCGGCAGCAAAGGAATAATAGTGCATCAGTGACGTCACTTGTTAGTCCACACGATGAGAGTCATGACTCAGCTCATTTTATTCCAGACTACAGTCTTCGTCGTGAGGCATCGGGTGATGAGAATTACGAGTTTGATGTGACGGACACACTGAATAGATACTCCAGTACACACCCTATTGGAGATGAACTGTTGAGTGCACTTGAGAATGGACTCAGTACGTCCAACTTTTACGATGATCTCTACCCGAAACCCACGCGACAAAGTCGCTACGACAACTCCGAAGAACGATTCCAGAAACTTCGTAAGGAATTCCATCAGTATCAAAGACAGATCCACAATCAGAGTTACGTGGACTATTACCCTGCTATGGACAGCGAGATGTTGTGATGTAATGACGGGTATGTGTGTACACTTGTGTATGTGATCGGGCTGACATGGACGATGTGCCATTATAACTGTTGTACTAGGTATTATACTGTTGGAAAATACTTTGTGTGCTTGTGAATCTGACAATATTTTGAGTATGTGTGTGTCCGTGCTCAATGTTTAATTGTGCTTTAAGGGTGTGTAGTGTAGTATAGATATCGATTGAGGACACTGGTATGTGTCTGCACTATACATTTTCCATGTTTTGATTCACATTTGACATTTTACATGTGGTCATTGTTTAAGGTTGCCATGACTACTGGTACAATATCATCTCCCTTTTCATTTTGATAATATTTGATTATAAGAAACCTTCATAGATTGGGGATTTTGTTGTTTGTTTGGTTGAAAACCTGAAATATGGTCACCTATGCTGGATGTGGTTTATATAGTGCATCTGTGTCACAAGGTGTACCTGTGTCACGAGGTGTACCAGTGTCACGAGGTTTACCTGTGTCACCGAGGTGTACCTGTGTCATGAGGTGTACCAGTGTCACAAGGTGTACCAGTGTCACGAGGTTTACCTGTGTCACCGAGGTGTACCTGTGTCACCGAGGTGTACCTGTGTCACAAGGTGTACCTCAACATGTGACCAATTGTACATCAACATGTGACCAGTTGTACCTCTTGTATGTCTACACTTGACCAGTTGTACAAGAGACCTATTGTTTTCTATCTACATATATCACCAGTTGTACATTTTGTACTGCTATGCCCGACAATATGTACACCAACACATGACCCATTGTGTACCACTACATGTGACCAGTTGTACCTGATGTGTACCACTACATGTGACAAGTACCTGATGTGTACCACTACATGTGACCAGTTGTGTACCTGATGTGTACCACTACATGTGACAAGTACCTAATGTGTACCACTACATGTGACCAGTTGTGTACCTGATGTGTACCACTACATGTGACAAGTACCTAATGTGTACCACTACATGTGACCAGTTGTACCTAATGTGTACCACATGTGACCAGTTGTGTACCTGATGTGTACCACTACATGTGACCAGTTGTACCTGATGTGTACCACTACATGTGACCAGTTGTGTACCTGATGTGTACCACTACATGTGACCAGTTGTGTACCTGATGTGTACCACTACATGTGACCAGTTGTACCTGATGTGTACCACTACATGTGACCAGTTGTGTACCTGATGTGTACCACTACATGTGACCAGTTGTGTACCTGATGTGTACCACTACATGTGACCGGTTGTGTACCTGATGTGTACCACTACATGTGACCACTTGTACCTGATGTGTACCACTACATGTGACCAGTTGTGTACCTGATGTGTACCACTACATGTGACCAGTTGTGTACCTGATGTGTACCACTACATGTGACCAGTTGTACCTGATGTGTACCACTACATGTGACTAGTTGTACTTCTAGACATAATCAAGTGCACCCCTACATGTGACCAGTGATTACACATGATCAGCCTGATCAGAAACACAAACCATTCCTGTATGTAACATGTGGATGACGTGTTGTCTGTATATACTGATCTACTAATGCTGGTACAGTAACTGGCCGTAATATGATCATTTTATCCGATATCAATCATTGCCACTCGTGTTTGAGTGGATGTTCACACTGTTACATTTGTATACAGATTCTACCTAAGACTGATTGATGTTTCTATGCTTTTTTTAATGACAGGCACCAATTCAAAGGGGCACATTATTTTTACATTACCTTGTCTGACTAGTACCTGGTATTTAAATCATTTTTCTACAAATTCCGGTTCTCTGGGATAAAATGCATTTTGATATGAATTTATCAGCGTAGAATTTATACTACTATCTAATCTTCTCTGATGTTAAACATAACATACCAAATCTTATTTCTACTTTCAAATTATTCATGTTTTCATGTTGAAAACTTTTCAAGTTGTCTCCCTTTACCAATATGTCCTCCCTTGGATTGGTGCCCGATCATGATACCGATATTGTTAACTTGTATCACACAAAATTAATATTATACATATCAGTTCAACATATGTTTTGTTTCAGACCCACGTGTTCAGTGGTTCAATGATGTGAATGTAATGTCGCGCTGGCTCACCTGTTGTGGTGAACCTATAGCCAATGCTGTGTTATATGGCTTTATCTAATTGACCTGGTTGTGTTAAAATATATAATCGTGAGGTGAGAACCTTCCTGATGAATACTGAAGAGCTATGATTCCTAAATCTTCGCTCAGTAGTATGTCATTCCATTCTGTTTATTTATCATGTTTCCTGTCCTTTTCGAATTCAACTCTGTCGATTCCTTCATATTATGACAATATATCATCAATTGCTTTTAGATTCTCGACGCAGAAGAGGTATGCGTGGATATTGTTGACTTGTGTGTTATGTTGGTTAAGAATTTCTAAAGTGTTATGTTTGAAAAAAATATACCATATATGCTTAAGTGTTATTGCGTCAGGGCTTTGTGTGTAAATGAGTGTAAAAGTTTTTCAGTGAGAAGATCAGGTGTCACACATCAACAAAATGCTGTACATGTGTCACAAACTGATGACAGTTGCTGTAGATGAACATGTGTCACACTAAACACATACATCTCTTACAAGGACAGTGGTGTAGCTATACATGTGTGTTACACACTGTCGCTGTAGATGTACATCTGTCACACCAACAACAGTCACTTTAGATGTACATCTGTTCCAACGACGACCGTCGCTTTAGATGTACATCTGTTCCAACGACGACCGTCGCTTTAGATGTACATCTGTTCCAACAATGACCGTCGCTTTGGATGTACATCTGTCGCACCAACAACGGTCACTTTAGATGTACATCTGTTCCAACGACGACCGTCACTGTAAATGTACATCTGTCTCTGTCAGCTGCCAAGTAGATGTACTTGAAAAGTCGATGTATGTAGATGTATATGGGTCGTGAATAAAACTGTATGATATTCTTTGCAAATAGAAGTGTGTAGGTCACCATGGAGACAAATTGTTGTGTTTATGTATCAATATGGCAGCTACTATATTTAGTTTTGTTTGTTTTAATGTTATTTTCCTTTAGTTGATTATACACCTCCTAACGGCTTTCTTTCCATTAAAGTGTCAACGTAACACAACAAGCTTTTCATTTACTCTTCACCCATTTACCATCCAGGATATCAGATCTTATTTCAATGCTAGACTTGTTTTAACAAAGGCACTTTCTCCATTTTAGTTTTTAATTTTACAATATATTAATGTATTTATCATCAGTTCTGTGTAAGAGCTTTTTACTTTTACATGCAGAAATGGCAATCTTATTTTAATAGCATATATTTTAAGTTGGATTTATATTTTATATTATTTTAATTAGTATGTCTCAGTCAATATTTTATAGATTTGGTGTTGAAGTTTTCACGTGTGCATCCTACTTAAATCAGAGTGTGATTATGAGAGAGAAAAATTGAGTATGTAAGGGAAAATCTAGAGGTAGTTTGTGTGTATTACCAATGTTGTAAACAACCAAAGTTTGATATTCTGTTTCTCACCAAAGCATGGCATACTCTTACAACTGTGAATGGAGTATGTATGAAATGTGAGATGTGTAGCTATAGGTGCGTGTGCATTGCTTTTGTACATGGATGTCATCAACACGCTCACCATTTGTCATATACAACTTTGCTTGTCCTCGACTAAATTGATTCAAACTCCATGTAAATTTTTGCTAGTGAACTATTTATTTTAAAATTTGACAATGATGTAAAATGTCATGGGCACCCCAGATAACAAGACATTACCAGACATCAATGTCAGGGTTACAGGCTATCATGTTGGTGTCAAGGTCAACATGTGACAGGCTGACATCATGTCAGTGTCAAGGTCAACATGTGACAGGCTGACATTATGTCAGTGTCAAGGTCAACATGTGACAGGCTGACATCATGTCAGTGTCAAGGTCAACATGTGATGGAATGACTTGTATTACTTCAGTCAGGGTAACATGTGACAGAATGACTTGTATTAGGTCAGTGTCAGGGTAACATGTGACAGAATGACTTGTATTAGGTCAGTGTCAGGGTAACATGTGACAGAATGACTTGTATTAGGTCAGTGTCAGGGTCACATGACAGAATGACATATATTACTTCAGTGTCAGGGTCACATGTGACAGAATGACTTGTATTACTTTGTTGTCAGTGTCACATGTAAACAGCATGAGTCTGAGGGCAGCAGCATCAGTGCATTGAGGTCACATGTTGTATTTGTTTATGGAGTGTGAGTGAGATTTGTCGAGTGTCTGTTTACACTGGTAATGCTTCGTACATGGGTCGATATCCTCTAAATTCTACCTTTTATAATGAATTACATGTTTTGTAAAAAAAAGTTACTCTTGTTTGTTTTATTTTTACAATGACTTAACAAGCATGTAAGGTTCGGCTAATTGACAACTTGAGTATGAGGAGATTGATGACACCCGGCTTGGGCTGAACGCGTACTATTGGTTAGAAAACAATGTGGTCTGAAAATGTGTAATCCTACCACGTTTCCATCAAAGCAGGTGACATGTTCAGTATTGGTATAATCTTTCATGGTATCTGTACCTACCGCGGTGTCGGAAGGTACGTAATGATAGATTGCTTACATCGACATGGGGAAACAGAGACATCATTTACAGCCAAAGAGAAACCGGACGCCGTTGACTACGCTGAAAGACTTGCCAACCCACTTTGACATCACAGAATCCAGCATTCGGGCATGGAAGAACAAAGAAGAATGTCTACAAGACATAAGGAGATACACTGAATTTAATAAATATATAACAAGAATACCATGGGACAGAATAATCTCCAGGACTTGTTGTATTTGAAAAAAATAGAAATGTTAATAAAGAGTCAAATTCTCATGATCGAGGTGTAACAGGACAAATGTCAAATCAAGATGACGCCCAAGAAAACATTACTTCATGTCATGGAGATCAAGCCTTCAAAGTCTGGAAGAAATAATTAAAAACTGAGAGAAGAAATACCCAAACAGGATTAACATTAGGAAAACAAGGGGAACTAACTCTTCAAAATAGTGAAATCAGACTGCTGTTCAGGAAAACACTAATTTATGTCATAGTTATTAAGCCTACACAATTTGAAAAAGATCAGTTTAAAACTGTTTCAGACCTTTGTACGAATATATGTTTACAACAGACAGGCAGATAAATGGACAAATTATAAACTCCTTACCAACTATCAAAAAATGTTATGGGCAATTAAAAATGCACTTTTCTGGGATAGGTGTAATGATATGAAATCAGTAAATCTTTTTTTGGAAAAAAGAAAGTATCATAAAAGTTAGTATAAAGCTAACATATCAATATAAAATGTGAAAAAGGAAAGATTTACGCAGAGTTAAAATACAACATAAACCAAAAGTACCAAGTTAATATTTATTAATCAATGATAATGATGTAAGCACCATCACTATGTTGTCATGTCTAAATAATTATACATTTCAAAACATGAAGTGAAAATGTTGCATGATTGTTTTTTTCAAATTTCCTCAAATATGACACATTAACCTCATAACTATCACTCTTTCCTAGAAAGGAAAAGAAAACTTGTCTGATATCTCATAGTACTTGTTTCAATGTGACTATATTTTACTAAATCTTAAGTATATAGAGCAAGTCATTAAGACTGTTGTCATTTCTCAAAATTCAAACTTTTCTTAAAAAATAACATTTAAAAAATTTGGGTAATCTATTTGGTAGGTTCCCATGTCACAATTTAACTGTATGCCAAGTTAGTCAGCTGAGAAAATTAGCTTAATGCAAAACATTAAGGACCAGCTTCTCAGCATTTTTCTTGAGATTTCAGTGGCATGACCATAGAATCTGGAAGATATTTTTAAATTAAATGTTGGATGTTTGGAGAAGCCATCTATATGTATGTCATTTAGTATAAAGTTTGGTTAAAGTTGGACTGATGCTTTTTGAAAAACCAGGTCTAAACCCAAAACTTAAAAGTGAAACGTTGCACCGCCACTGTCTTAGAAATAATATATTTTCATTACCATGACAGGCGAGACGTATTGATATAATTTGGTTAGGAATTGTTAAAACTGGCAGTCTAGATGAAAGATTTTCCACGGACCTAATACATGTGATACTTATTTAGAAATAACAAGTTTTTCTCACAATTCCACTGGTTCAGTTATTGATTTAACAGATTTTACATCTATTAATACAGCCTTTGTGCCTTTCAGCAGACAAAAACTGATACAGCTAATCCACATGGGACACAGATCTGCTTGACCCAATATGCATCCTGAAAATAATGTTTTTAATTACAACATGCCTCTCTTTCACCAAACAAAATTTAAACACAGACATCAAATTGAAGGCAATTCCAACAATCAATTTTCAAAATGTTATTGGTTTTGTAAAAATTATATAAAAACAATCCTATGTTAATTGACCATCACAAGGTAAGTATTGTTACATGTATTAATTATTACACTAAGCAATCATAATCATATCATTCCAAGATTAAATTTTTCAAAAGGCATGACACCCGCTGATGAGAAGTAATTGACAAATATATATATACATAACCAGTACCTCTGACTGTTTCCATTGGCTCAATCATGGCCGTCACTGGAAAGATTGAAGATCAGAAATTAAAACTCGAGATTACATCACTTCAACAATTCTATATTTTCCTTTAGATTAATTTGCTTTCATGATAAAGACACAGATTGGTGAATTGCTGATTCGCAGCCCTTTTCAATGTCTTTATATAAACATTCTAAACTGAGGTTATTTTTTATTCTTGTCTTCAACTTAGAAAGAGAACTGTGGAAGTATACATATGATATATCATCCTCCTACAAGGAGTGTCACTTATCACCATGTGTCTGTTATGTACCATAGATATGTACTATTTGAATTATGCAGATCATGCGTTTGGTTTACCATAAAAACCAACGTAATGTGTACACAGTTTTCCTGAGAAATTAATAGTCCAAGCTGCGGAATGCACATATTATTTAGCTGGTGGATTTTTTCAGGGTTTCACAAGCTGTATCAAATAAGTCAAACACTGTCTTATTGTTTGATTGAATGTAGCTACATTTAGACCGTAAGGCAAAAAGTGCTTTACAACCTGGCTTGATTTATTATTAGATCTATACAGGAAACTCAGATAAAAGACTTCATCTAACTTTGCAATAATTTTATCATTGTATTTCTATCATTTGTGATCTTGAGTTGGGCCACCTTTTCTAAAAACGACTATTTTGGTTTTATCCATATTCACAACTAATTTCCATTTATGGGAATACTTACTTTGCAGACCTTCGTAAAAAAATAATATCAAATCATCTGTGTACAGAAGATGAAATAAAATTCTCCAGAGTCGTAGTTTGTGGCGCCATTTGCAATGAAAATCATTCACAAATTACATAAAAAGTAATGGAGATAAAATGTCCCCTTGAGTCAAATCGACATTTTGAGTGAAATAATCAGAATATTTGCCATTAACTAGGACACAAGACTTTACTAATGAATAAACAGATTTAACTGCCATTAGAAATTTACGTCTAATGCCCAGTTTTGTCATTTTCTACCATAGATTAGCCAACTACTAAAATTGTTGGCATCAGTAAAGACACCTCAAAATTCAAATATTTTCTCTTTAAGCTATAAATACATTTTATTTTTTTGTTGTTTTTATCTCCAAACTATCATATAAGACCGACGACTTTTACATATAACTATGTGAAGGGAGGTAATCCAATATGGCGGATGCAGAACTCGGGAATGATAACCCCAGGAATGGCATGTACCTGCATATAGTGCGCACCCCCTTTTTGACATGACAGTTTCAGCTTTAAAAAGTGCGCACTATACGCGAATATTTACGGTAATGGTATTTTTCCTAGTTCTGTATGGGTTGTGACTAATAGTAAAACGCAAAAATGATTTTTCTATTTCGATGAATTTGGAGAGGTAATGTCAATGGGTTATATCCAAATAGTAATTATTTTAAAGAATATTTTAGATATACGTCATGTATGTAGTATTTTCTACAGATTGTCAAAGCTGCTACCTGAAGCAATATGCACTAAAGCATTTGGGGGGTGGGGGGTTGGGGGGTTGTGTTCTCTGGCTTCAAGTGCAATTTTGATACACATAGCATACATGTACCAACTGTTAGTCAACTTAACTTAATTCAGTACTATCCGATTTAACTTACTATTTACGATTAGAATGGTGTGAATTTCTACATGAGTTTCTATAGCAAAGGCAGCAAGACTTTACTCCCACGTTAGTCGAAATCATTGGCTGCACGTGTCGTTTAACTTAATTATTTATGTTCATAGTCACTGCGGCAATTACTGGTCAAACCCTGAGTGCAGTAGATGAGTTACAGATACTAGATACATAGAGTCCTACTTGTGATAATGTTGGAGAAATGCAACATGGTGAGTTTGATGTGTTATAATTTCCACAAGGGTTTGAGGGTTTCTGCCAAAATAGATCAAAAGGAGTGAAAAAGAAATCGGGGGGGGGGGGGGCTATAGTCATGATATACAAAAGGGAATTAAAGTCTATGTTACAGTTTTACAATATCCCTTCAGATTTTGTACAATGGGTAAAATTGTCAAAAAAATGATTCAACAAGATTATGATGGAGTTATTGGTTGTGTGTATGCCGCCCCCCACCCCCCTGAAAATTCAAAATATTAGTTTGAAGGTTGTTTTGAAGAAATAGATAAGGAGATAGCTTTTTTTTTTTTTAAATAAAATTTAATTTGCACTAGTTGGTGACTTTAATTTGAAAACAAAAACTCTTGATGATTATGTACAACCTGATAATACACCAACTGAAGCTTTAGATATTAATAAAATTGATGATATATTTAAGTATTTTAATGATTTACAAACATTGAATGATTTACATATACCGCTTAAGCAAGTTAGTCTGTGTAAGGCAAAACCAAATAGTTTTGGATAAAAACTCTTGGATTTTTGTAAGGGAAACAATATTTATATAGCAAATGGTCATACAAGAGAAGATGAAACAACCGGGAAAACAACATGTAGTAATACTAGTGTTATTGACTATCTGTTTTTATCGTCAGATTTGTTTGAAATTGTAACTGACTTTGAAATTATTGATTTTGAACCTTAATTCTCAGATGACTAGAACAGAAATATGCACAAATTAAAAAAGTTACACACAAATGACCATACGTACAAAATTACTCCTGGAGCGCAGTTTTTAACGGACATGACTGTTCATAACCTACAAAATGTACTTAGACATATGTGTGTACACTAACCTGCTAAAATTATGAAAACTTATGATTTTCAGCAATTTGGTTTCGGACAGGTATGGCTGGACCCCTCAATCTGTACGTGCGGAATATTCCGATATACGCCACGTTCCCAATCTCTACCCGACGTTTTCTTGAGGTTCAACCTGCCCAACCATTTCATCCGCTAACACAAGAGCAACCTTAGTGATAATAAAATTCAAAAATTTTACTGGCTATAATAAGTTTTGAGTTTACTGACATCAATGCTCCAGACATGAATTTTTTACAAAGGGCTATAACTCTAATTAAGGGGTTGTGTGTTCCGACTTAGGCACAATGCACATTGTCTTAGTATGACCAATATTTACAGGAAGTACGTTGCTATTTTTATAAACCATGTGATGTGATACTTTTAGTATTAATTTGTTATGAAAATGAGCTTCACTTCTCGCTGGCGGACAAAATAGCTCTGGTCAGTACTAGGCCCACACTACATCATAGAGGCACGGGTGGAGGGGGACTTTCATGGCTTTACGTCTCTGTGAACAAAGACAAACCTTAAACCAGAGAGACCATCACTGGGCCTACAGTTTCTTATCCCTTTGTATCATATATACGTCCCTCATTTCTAATTAATGACAGGTTTCCATGTGTTTAACTCCATCAGGAAACAGAATAACGTGTGTTTTTAAAGGGGACCAAATCTGGACTACCATTGCTATTGAGGAGGATAGAAAGACTTCCTAAAGTCCGAAATACAAGCTGTGTCAGAAATGTCTGGTAATTCAAGTTGTTTTGTGTGATCGGGGAATTTGGTATGGTAACAAATGACGATAAACAAACCTGTCCAGATTGCTGAGTCCCTCTCTCTTTTTCTTTTATTTCCTTTTCGAAAACTTTTCATACAAAAGAGTTCCAATATAAGCAGTAATAAATGCTGACTCGTACCTAATCCAGTGAGCGATGGAGCGATAACACCATGCAATTATCTCCCATTGTGTGTGTGTGGTAAAAACTGTCAGAAATTGTGTATCGATCATTTGATTTTTTTTTATAACAAAGTTGGAATAAATAAAATGGATATATGTATATTTTTTGTTTCGTTTGTTCCTGCTGTTTGGCGATGCATACGTGAAATGGTGTTTAGATTAATCCTTAGAGATTTATAAATTGTTCTCGTTACAAACAAATGCATCTATGAAAAAAATACCTATCCATCATAGACTACTTAATCCTATAATGATCTACATATTTAAGACTATTTATGAAACGGTACGAAACGTCCAAACATTTGGGTACGAAACGTCCAGAATGGGTACGAAACGTCTTGGGTACGAAACGTCCAGGGTACGAAACGTCCAGAATGGGTACGAAACGTCTTGGGTACAAAATGTCCTGTAATACCTTGAAATGCTGAAATAATTGATTTTCATGAATATGTCACATTCAAAACATGTATTTGATTTTTTTTAACAATTAGAAATTGTATTCTAGAATCTTCGTCCGGATCCATGGAACTGTGTCGGGACTTAATTTTATTATACGTGTATTTGTTTCCGGCTTATCACACATGTGAAATGTGGTGCAAAGACGGATTTTGAGATTTGTGTCTGAGACAGACTTAATGTGTAACATAGACAACTTCATAATTTTTTAAAGACAGCTTTTTTCAGTTCCGTTTTACATTTGTTGTTATACGTGATCGGATATTCAAACAATACAGAAGATCTGCCAGTAACATTGATGGCCGAGCAAAGAGAAAATAAGCCATTTTTCGAAGACCTGAACGCTGATAACGATGAACCTGAAGTGACGGAGATTGAAAGTGTGTGTTTCCAGTGTATGGACGATGTAAGAATGATACTTCTTAATTATGTTCAATGAAAAAAAAATCACAGAGACATGTAGGGAAAATCACTTGTAAATATCAAGACTAGGACCATCCTTAGACTTGAGAGCTAGGAGGTAATGGAACTCCACTTTTCCTCTCATTGCGTTTAAGTTTATTTATTATTTTTGAAATACACTTAAGGCTTTAACTGTGCACGAGTGTAATAGTCCTGCATTTGAGAGATAGTTAAAATTACTGCTTTGAGTAATCAGTTAGTGATTCAAATATAGAGTTATTTTGAAATAGAAAAACATAAGTTCTTGTAAGAATTTACAACAAAAATGGTTGTGATCTTTTTGACATGACCCAAAAGTCAGTGTGACTGTATATAACTGCATCATCATGCATTTACTTGTGTAAAGACAACTTAATTATCCACATTTTGTGTAAAAATGTATACTGTTTCATTATTGGACCATGTAAAAAATCTGACAACCCTTTTTTGTTTAAAATGTATGAAAAAACTTAATATGTTCCTATTTCAGAATTATCCAGAATTGAATAACTAACTGATTACCTGTAAATGCAGAATCATTACTTATATGTAGTGTTGTGCCCACTATGTCCTCTGTAGTTCAAGGTCCATAATCTGATCAAAAACATCTGACGTTATATACCTGACATACCTTCAAGCAAGTGAAATTTAATCATTTGATAGAACCGTGAATTTTCACCTCAGAGTTTTATTAAACTTTTACCTAAGCGTTTTATGATAAAAGCAATATAAAAAACAGTCAAAATCTTAAATGAAAATAGCCAGAACTCCCTACCTGTCATCAGGGAAGCACAACATAGTAAAATTCAGCAATTTGTCTCTCATCATTTAGAGAGAGATTAAAATATATTTTTCCTAGCACAAATACATCTGCCCCAGACTTTTTTCTTAAGTAGTCAATTTCTTAATAAGTCAACTATATATATATAACATTAAAATTTGTTTAATTTAAACATATTTTATTTGAAAAATTCAAAAGGAGTTTCACACACGAGTTATGACAAATTAGAAACATCCTTTTCCATCAACAATTAAACTGTAGAATCATTTCATTTACCATGTATTTGTAAACAAATTTGTACATAGTCAAGTGATTATCTGTACTTTAATAAGATGATCTTTAACAAGTGATTGAGTTCTTATAGCAACTATCATCGAGTGTGCTTGTTAGATTTGGGTTAGTCATATCCTGTGGAATATACAGAGCCTTGTACAGAAGCCAACTCAAGGACGCTGTCTATAAAAAGAACAGAACTGTTATTTGTCAGTAATGTCACATTTACTCAAATTGATTTTTCAGGGGATAACACGAATTTTCCTGACGAGGATTCCTTTTTTCCGGGAAGTGATATTGTCATCCTTTCACTGTGAACATTGTGGAGCGAAAAACTCTCAATTACAACCTGGTGTTGCTATTCAGGAGAAAGGGGTCTCTTTTTCTGTGGAGATCAAAGATGAACAGGTAATGAGCACTTAAAGATATGGACAGCCATATTATGATAGCAATGGAAATTAAAGAGACCCTCATTTTTATGGGTATGCTGTACATAGATCAGTAATGTTTGTAACATTTTACACCATTTCCAAACTTTGATGAGTCCAGTCGCAAAGAGATATATGAGTTCTCAAAAACTTAGTGAATCTCAAAGAAAAAGTAGGAGTCTAGAACTCAAATATTTGAGTCTCAAAAATCACTGATATACTATTTTTTCCTTTTATGGAGAAAGCTAAATGATCAACTAATTTACTTCTAATTTTAACAAAAAAAGAAATTGGAAAATATAATAATTTTCATATGATGTTCTGTATACATAGGACCTTAACAGACAGATTGTGCAGACAGAGTATGCGACAGTGTCCATCCCAAGCTTGGAGTTTGAGGCTCCCCCATGCAAAGGAGGTACAGCTTTAATTGTCTGTCTTATATGCTGTTAAAATTTTCTTTTTTTTTTTTGGCCAGGGGTGGGTGGGGGGATATTCATTTTTTGTTTCATTTGTAATTGCTCTAAATCCACAAATTCACATGTCAAAGAAATCTTAAACAGATGAATGTTGACATGGATTGTGTTCCTTGTTGATTTTCTGAACAAGATTTTCCACAAAATTATGCCTGAGTGAAATACAATGTTTTTAAAAAACCACAAAATATGATTTTAAAATTTCCACCAATGAAGACTTTCGGCAGTACAACACATAGATCTGTTAGCCCTTGTTATCATGAATGCCTTTAGATAAATTTCATGAAGTATTAAGGAACAATTTTTTTCAATAAAACTTGAAGAATGTGTGAGGTTTGATGTCTAAACTTTTAGTCATTGACAGTCAAAACGAAAGGCAGTTCTTGATGAATTTTCAAATACTTGAGTCTAAATCTGATTTTTAAAAAATCTTTTAAAAATGTTTTGATTAAGTATGTTAATGATCAATAATGCAAAATGTCCATTATTTCATTTTTTTGAAAAAATTTAAGCAAATTTTGTAAATTTAAAAACTTTTTGTCCTACCAGTGCTGACAACTGTTGAAGGGATTATAAATGCTGCTGTGACGGGATTGTCCATGGATCAACCTGCACGAATGGTGAGTAGTAAAAACTTCCCACATATGGACCCCTCCAGCTGTAAACAAGATAAAATGAATCACATCGAGCCAGCCATCTCTGTTTTGGAAGCAGTCTTTCACTATCTCTACTCAAAATTATTCATCAGTAAGATTTCTTTCTTTGCAGCATAATTAAATGGAATCAATTGAAGTCACCCAAACACAATTGAAGGTCATCAGTTCAAAGGTTAAAGTTAAATTTGTAATGTTGCACTGACAAATATTTTATGTAAAAGGTCTGGATCACATTTGAAATACTTGTATCATTTCATGACATAATGAACCAGAATTAGAAATCAAATGAAAAGTCTTCCGAAAATATGAGGTAAAGATTACCAGGTCAAGGGTATAAGGTCAGATATGAAATACATGTTATGACATTATGACTCATAATAAGAAGCAATCAAATGAGAAGTCACCTGACTACAGGTCAAGTTCAGCAGGTCAAAGGTGAAGAGCAAATCTGAAATATTTATCTATATTTCACAAGCAGATCATTGTGTCTATAAAGCAATAATCGAAATCAACAAAAAAATCGTTGAAACATTTAGGTTTATAATCTGAAACAATGTGGAGCCCCTCCTGACATGTGTCAGTATTGTTTCTCAAAGACAAAATTAATTGAAAAAGGATGATACAAAATTCTAAAGATGATCCTGTAAGTGTGATTGAAGTTTTAAGGACATTATTGAGATTCTGAATGGTGTTATTAAACCAGGTTGGGTAATGTTTTAATGCATTATTGTAAAATTTGAAGATATTTAATTCTAAGAGGTTGAAATGTGGTACCAGAAACATATATCTGCCTTTTCAAATTTGATATCTTAATCAAATAAAGTCCTACTGTAAGAATTGTGTAAACTCTAAAGATTCGTGTGTTGAATTCTAGCAAATGATGTTAAATATTTTGGTTATAGGAACAGATTCCAGAGATTGCCTCTAAGATTGGTGATGTGATACTGAAGCTTACCCTGTTGAAGACTTTACAGGAACCATTTACAATCGTGAGTCAGGTTAATTATCACTTCTGTATCAAATATGAACCATCAAAATATACCAAAAGATAATATGCTTCTTCAAAGAATCACAACAAATTTTTTATACAAAAAAAGTCTAAAAGGTGTGAAATGACCTGAAAATCAATCATTCATACTATTTATGTTTTACCATTGTGAATTGCAGGTTATAGATGATCCTTCAGGAAACAGCTTTATAGAGAATCCATATCCTTTGGTAAAGTTGTCTTTGGTAACATGTGTACATGACAATCACATCATGACAGAAGACCCTGACTCCATTCTGGATTTTACATGTGATTCAAGAAATCTCTTTATTGAAGAGAGTTTTTTTTTGTGTTTTCATGTTTTTGTTTTATTTTTTTCTTCATGGCGTAGGGATGTTCCTTTGGAAAGACTTTCAATTCCTTGCGTTGTGATTTCATTATCATGCTGCTACAAGTTTAGCAGGCTGTCAGAAAGTTTGTATCGCTCTGTTGATCAGGAAAGTTTTTCATTATTTGTAAATATAGAGACCTGATAAAACAGTGTTTTTCCCTTAACTGGTCTAACTTGTGCTCCGAAGACTGATCCAAACATGAAAATCAGACATTACACCAGATCAGATGAACAGAACAGCGCCCTCGGACTCACCATGGAGGTAAGCTTCACATGCAGTTAATTTATTTATCGATTTAAATTTTCATGATTTTTAATTTGAAATCAAGAATTAACTTTACACAAATTTAGATTTTGCAATATGGAGATATTAATACAACATATATGTTATTATGCTCCCCAAAAAAAATTTGGGGGAGCATATAGTAACATTGGTTATACTAAGGGGATATGAAGTGTGTCAAATTCAGGACTCTTGACCCCTAAATTACAGAGTTATTGCCCCTTGTTAATGTCTTTGTCTAGATCATTACTTTGCCTGCATTTAGAATAGGATATTGAAACGTGATGTATGCATCAGTTATACAAAAGCAAGGCGCAGAGTCAAGACCCATGGTCCCTTAGTACAGAGTTATTGCCCTTTTGTGTCCATTAAAGTTGTTTTTTGTGTGCTTCATCAGTTTCATTCTTGTTGATATTGACCTTGGTGTCAATTTTCAAACATTCCAAATATTGAACTGAAGAGAGACTGCTAATATTATGTTATTGTGACCTGATATCAATTACTTTTACAATGTTTGTTAAAAAACAAATAATAAAGACAATTCACACTTGTCATATTTTGGAAACCCGAAAGCTTTCCTTACAACCTCAGACTTTACAACACCAAATGAAAACTGAGGTGGTGATTTTATCCCTACTCTGACAAGGTTTGTGTTTCTCAAGGAGCAGGATATTACAGACAGTGATATGCTGTTTTGTGGTTGTATCCTCGGGCAAAATATGTTAGCCTAAGATGTTTTGGTAGCATGTGACTTGCCTTTCCCATAATGTTCAGTGAGGTACCCACTAGATACTACAAGAAGACTCAAACTCAGTGTAATATTCCTAACTGTTCATTGGGCATATACCATATTAATATGAAATGTCTAGCACAGATAACTGTTTATGATGATATCAGTTAAAGGCTGAACAACTGTTCATATTTGGGGTAACCTAGCATGACATGAAGCAAAAGATATTCATAAGATAACAGCTGGCATTGACCCTTTGAAATTAATGTTGAAAATATTTTTGAAAATAAAACACCAAAGAATAAAAAAGGACGTTTTATAATACCTGATTACATAATGGTGGTGTAGGGGGAGGGAAGGCTTGTTAGTGTTTCCTGTGTCCTGCTATCTCCCGACTTCACATTCCGAAAAGGACTTTTAAAGGCGATTCCAGAACACTGATGCCAGAATTTTGATGCAATCCAGATGTGATTAATTCTGTTTTGTGTATATTTGTTATATATTTGTTCTAATAAGCTTAGTCTATTTCAGGAAGAAGAGAAAACTGAGGCAAAAATTGAAAAGGATGAGGTAGGTTTACGGATATTGTATCCTGATGTTGATAGTGAGGTGGGGGACGAGGATGAGGTAGGTTTACTGATGTTGATAGTGAGGTGGGGGACAAGGATGAGGTAGGTTTACTGATGTTGATAGTGAGGTGGGGGACGAGGATGAGGTAGGTTTACTGATGTTGATAGTGAGGTGGGGGATGAGGTAGGTTTACGGATATTGTATCCTGATGTTGATAGTGAGGTGGGGGACGAGGATGAGGTAGGTTTACTGATGTTGAAGGTGAGGTGGGGGACGAGGATGAGGTAGGTTTACTGATGTTGATAATGAGGTGGGGGACGAGGATGAGGTAGGTTTACTGGTGTTGATGTTGAGGTGGGGGACAAGGATGAGGTAGGTTTACTGATGTTGATAGTGAGGTGGGGGACAAGGATGAGGTAGGTTTACTGATGTTAATAGTGAGGTGGGGGACAAGGATGAGGTAGGTTTACTGATGTTGATAGTGAGGTGGGGGACGAGGATGAGGTAGGTTTACTGATGTTGAAGGTGAGGTGGGGGACGAGGATGAGGTAGGTTTACTGATGTTGATAGTGAGGTGGGGGACGAGGATGAGGTAGGTTTACTGATGTTGAAGGTGAGGTGGGGGACGAGGATGAGGTAGGTTTACTGATGTTGATAGTGAGGTGGGTGATGAGGTAAGTTTACTGATGTTGATAGTGAGGTGGGGGACAAGGATGAGGTAGGTTTACTGATGTTGATAGTGAGGTGGAGGACAAGGATGAGGCAGGTTTACTGGTGTTGATAGTGAGGTAGGGGACAAGGATGAGGTAGGTTTACTGATGTTGATAGTGAGGTGGGGGACGAGGATGAGGCAGGTTTACTGGGTTGATAGTTAGGTGGGGGACAAGGATGAGGTAGGTTTACTGATGTTGATAGTGAGGTGGGTGATGAGGTAAGTTTACTGATGTTGATAGTGAGGTGGGGGGGACGAAGAGGTAGGTACTGATGTTGATAGTGAGGTGGGGGATGAGGATGAGATAGGTTTACTGATGTTGAAGGTGAGGTGGGGGACGAGGATGAGGTAGGTTTACTAATGTTGGTTGTGAGGTGGGGGACGAGGATGAGGTAGGTTTACTGATGTTGATAATGGGGTGGGGGACGAGGATGAGGTAGGTTTACTGATGTTGATAATGAAGTGGGGGATGAGGATGAGGTAGGTTTACTGGTGTTGATAGTGAGGTGGGGGACGAGGATGAGGTAGGTTTACTGATGTTGATAGTGAGGTGGGGGACGAGGATGAGGTAGGTTTACTGATGTTGATAGTGAGGTGGGGGACGAGGATGAGGTAGGTTTACTGATGTTGATAATGAGGTGGGGGATGAGGATGAGGTAGGTTTACTGATGTTGGTAGTGAGGTGGGGGACGAGGATGAGGTAGGTTTACTGATGTTGTTATGTTGATCTTGTTATGTATAAATATAGAACCTTCTCATTAAGTTTTCTGAATGACTGATGATTTCTGTTTCTAGGTGGTGAACTTCAACACCAACTGTCCCGAGTGTAATTCTCCCTGTAATACTCGCATGAAGATGGTCGGTATCCTTTTTCATTCTTTGTTTCATCAAGGCATAATAATTTTATTCAGAGTGACATACTTTTGGTTTTTTCTTAAGATTATAAAAGTGAAATCCAGGGCAATTGGTCCTTTCCTATTTAATGATGATGATGGTTGTGGGCTTATCAAATTGCCCTACGTCCGTGGTCGGTCTGTCTGCACTGAACAATTTTTGTTATCACTATTTCTTGAGGACTGGATGGATCTTTCTCACATTTCACATGTAAGATTGTGAGCCCTTGTGGTCAGTTCCAGGTAACTGCTTGTGGTCAGGCATAGGTTTCCCCTTGTAATATGTGACACCTTGTGGTTAAGTACAGGTGACCCCTTGTGGTAAAGTACAGGTGACCCCTTGTGGTTAAGTGCAGGTGACCCCTTGTGGTAAAGTACAGGTGACTGCTTGTGGTAAGTAGCAGGTGTCACCTCGTAGTTGAACAGAGATGTTGGTTTCTGGTCAGACATTGGTGACCCCTTTCACGGGCCATTTGGAGAAACAAACCTCTGTAGTCTATGTGTTTACTATTGGTGCAGGCTTTATTGACTTGCCTCCTTAACTCTGCTCAGAAATTCCTCATTTTAAGGAAGTAATTATCATGGCCACTAACTGTGAGGCATGTGGTATTCGTACCAATGAGGTGAAGAGTGCATCTGGCATAGAACCAAAGGGCTGCAGGATCACACTGAAAATCACAGATCCAACAGATATGACTCGAGACGTCCTCAAGGTCAGTATATATATATATTATCAAAGTTATTTAAAGGTTGGGGGTGCTCTTAGTCATTACACATGTTTTGAAGGTCAGTAATAGGTCGGCTGCATTTTATGTTAGACATATCAAGGGATGTGCTCAAGGTCAGAAAAAGACCAGGGTTTCATAATGGTCTCTTATCATTGTAAACTCTAATACAATTAAACTTCCATTCTCTCGTCCTTTTATAAAGATGGAGGAGGGGATAGTGTTACCATGTTCATCCATCGTGTCCGATTCTGAATCAAAATAACTCTGAGCAACTTGTTTCCACCGTAACCATTATTTGAAATAAAGTTGGTTCTGTTTCAGAGTGAGACATGCAGTATTGGAATCCCAGAGCTGGACTTTGATTCAGACTTTGGTACACTAGGAGGGAAGTTTACAACAATTGAAGGGTTACTGCAGAATGTCAAGGACCATGTAAGTACATGGATCTACTTCAGTGTTAACGTTGTTGTTTGACGGTTCAAATTTTTTGGAAGTTTAAAGCGTAGAGACAAAAGGGATGTAGTTTTAGCAAAAGTAATTATTACTTCTGTTTTCAAGGTATCTTTTCTCAAAGTTTCATTCCATCCATGAAAAATTTAAAAAAGAATCATCCCTGTAAAAGTTTGTCATTTTTTTATACTGCACACAGGAGTGACAGGGTTCCTACCACACATAGTCTGTGTATGTACAAACCCTTGGTAGGGATCTGTGTTATATCCCAATATCTTACAGTTATTACTTAAAAAATGATAAACTCTGATAACAAGAAAAAATATCATTTTAAATTAAATTTTAATTAATTTACCAATTGATTGACAAATTAAACTGGTTTGAATGACTTTAAAGCTTTACTACTGTAGTACTGGTTATATATGTATCTAACACTAAAGGCTTAATTTATTTATAGTCTCTGTAATGTGTTCTATGCTATTTCTAGTTAACTGGGTCAAATTCATTCATGCAAGGAGACAGTTCACAATCATCCCGGAGGTCTGGATTGCAGATATTCTGTAATGAACTTGACAAGGTACGTTCTAGAGAGTTGTCCTGAAATCAAATTCCTTCTGTTGTATTAACAGCAAGAAAATTTTGTACTCCAAGTATCCATCATCTATCCCTACAACATCTTAGTTTGATCTTGGACGAGGTTCAGTCTCTCTGAGAACATATGTCCAACTGTCTTTAGATGCTACGTACAGGTGTAAATGTGACATGAAGGCCATTAGGACTTGCACTTTCTAATTCAGTGACTGATGTGCTTGAAGAAGAGAATTTACATTCTCTCTTTTCTAGTTACATAAGTTACACTAGTTTCTAGTTACATAAGTTACACTAGTTTCTAGTTACATAAGTTACACTAGTTTCTAGTTACATAAGTTACACTAGTTTCTAGTTACATAAGTTACACTAGTTTCTAGTTACATAAGTTACACTAGTTTCTAGTTACATAAGTTACACTAATTTCTAGTTACATAAGTTACACTAGTTTCTAGTTACATAAGTTACACTAGTTTCTAGTTACATAAGTTACCCTAGTTTCTAGTTACATAAGTTACACTAATTTCTAGTTACATAAGTTACACTAGTTTCTAGTTACATAAGTTACACTAGTTTCTAGTTACATAAGTTACACTAATTTCTAGTTACATAAGTTACACTAGTTTCTAGTTACATAAGTTACACTAGTTTCTAGTTACATAAGTTACACTAGTTTCTAGTTACATAAGTTACACTAATTTCTAGTTACATAAGTTACACTAGTTTCTAGTTACATAAGTTACACTAATTTCTAGTTACATAAGTTACACTAGTTTCTAGTTACATAAGTTACACTAGTTTCTAGTTACATAAGTTACACTAGTTTCTAGTTACATAAGTTACACTAGTTTCTAGTTACATAAGTTACACTAGTTTCTAGTTTCATGAGTTACCCTAGTTTCTAGTTACATAAGTTACACTAGTTTCTAGTTACATAAGTTACACTAGTTTCTAGTTACATAAGTTACCCTAGTTTCTAGTTACATGAGTTACCCTAGTTTCTAGTTACATAAGTTACACTAATTTCTAGTTACATAAGTTACACTAGTTTCTAGTTACATAAGTTACACTAGTTTCTAGTTACATAAGTTACACTAGTTTCTAGTTACATAAGTTACACTAGTTTCTAGTTACATAAGTTACACTAGTTTCTAGTTACATAAGTTACACTAGTTTCTAGTTACACTAGTTTCTAGTTACATAAGTTACACTAGTTTCTAGTTACATAAGTTACACTAGTTTCTAGTTATAAATTTCCTTACATTTATGCCCTAACTACCAGTTCCATTTTCTCTAGTTACTGTAAACAAGCATATTTTGGCAGTGATCTTATTTTTGCACTAAAAGTATTGTGTTAAAACAATAAGTTTAAGATTAAAAATGGAATCATTGGATAGGTGATACAGGACAACATGTCTGACGTCAAATAAAACAAACAAGAATTTGCACAAACATTTGGCTATAATTAAACAAAAGGTTATTTAAAGTCAGTTTATGAGATGAAACTAAGTTTGGAAGAGAATACTTTCAAGTTTTGAAAGTCCAAATTAAATTTTCTGTCATTGGTCTGACATGTTAGCTGAACATTCCGACATCAATTTCTTTGCTCCTGGAGATTGATTTTGACTGAATTTTTGGGTGTGTACATTGTGCAAATAGAAGCTTTTTTTACTATTTTCAGCCCCCAAAAGAACATGTGCACATTACATAGATGTGCACATTACACCATTTTTTTTTTTACGTTAGTTCAAACACATGATTGTTTCAACGATAGTTCAGTATTTTTTCACTAATATTACAAATTGTTTGAAGACGTTACGAGATTGAATGTTATTTTAACTATTTATACTTTATGGTGATATTGGCATCACATTTATCAGTCCATGTCATCTCTCTATTTCACATTGACAGTAAACACTGCGAGAAGGAGGTTATTCCTAGCCAACATGGCTTCTTTGTTACAATATCAAATATGATGAAGATAAAATGAAACCTTTGATTTCTTAAACAGTTGATGACATATTTCAAGAGATATGTTCATAATGATATATAATCATATTACATACTCAACATACAGTCAAAACTCGTTATCTCAAAATTCAATGGAATGTGAAAAAAATTATTTTGAAAAGTTAATGCTGTTTGGTGTTTTCAGCATTTTAGTCTTGTCCAGACATTTCTTACCGATTAGAACCCATCTCTTTATAGCTTGAATTTATCATTAAGATATATAGCACCATTTTCCCTGTGTGAAATTTTGACTGATTGCAATTTCCAAATTATTCTTTTAGATTCAACAAATCCTGAATATTTTTTTGCCATGGAATGGACCGCATGGTCCTCTTTTTAATTTTTTTTTTCTTGTTAAACCGACAGAAATATATACAGTATGTGTATTCACATTTATTTTAATCTAAATTATAATCTTTGACAACAAGCAATTGATGAAATGAATAACAATTAAAAATATTCATTATAAAAATAATGTTATTCATAAGATAATTAGAGAAATTAAATATTATTTATGTGGCTATATTTAATAATTTAACCAAAAATTGATAATGCGCTAAAATTTGACTGTACCAAATTACAAGTGTTTACAATTTTAGTTTCATTCACAAATAACTAGTGACATAGTAACATTTATCATGGCTGGTATTATTAGATTTCCAGAAAATTCATGATCATATAAATTTTGACAGTAAAACGCAGAAATATGTTTCCTTTGTTGTATAGATAATTAGTGGTGAGAAGACAAATGTACACTTTGTCTTGGATGATCCGGCAGGGAACAGCTATTTACAGAATGTGTACGCTCCAGATGATGACCCAGAGTTGGAAATCGTACACTACGAACGAAATTATGAACAGAATGAAGTTCTAGGCCTCAACGACATAAAGACAGAGAATTACGAACAGTCATGACATCATCAAACCCCCTGAGAAGTCAATAATGATCTTTGGTGACGTAAAATCACATCAGGAAGAATTAAAGGATTTAAAACAGTGATTGGTATTTCTTATATATTAGATTCATCAAACAATAAAAAAAAATTAGATTCATCAAAGAACAAACCTGTCTTTCGAATTAATGAGATTGTTGGGGGAATTTCACGTTTATCTGTCTTTAAGCCTTGGTGATGGACCATACCACATTAATTGCAGTTTCAGTATAATGCGAACCAGTTTTATCACACAATGCTCTGTGTGTTTTATTTATATACAGAAATCAATTATCTCCTGCTATTTCCATGATAAATAATGGTTTTTTTTTCATTCTTGGAGAAATTTTGAAACATTTCAGAGCAGTATATCATCATATATTGCTTTGAAATGGTCAGTCAGGATTTCCGAACCATACATCCAAAACTCTGTCCAAAGATGAAAACATGCTGTCGTGGCAAGTTTGTATATTTTTTTGTAACATACATAATATATTATTGTCAAAAATATTTGTCTGTGATGGTAGTTATGTTATATTTCTCTCACCTGCAGTTTAACACATGTACAACTATCAGCACTTCCAATCAAGTTATTTTGTCTGTAGCATTGAAAACGACGAAATACATGTTTTATTACTTGTGTAGGCTCAGTCCATCATAATTTGTTGGTCCAGTAGGATACATATTGCAATTATAACAAAATTTCTATCAATAAAATCCAAGCCAAGTATTTCTCAATCTTCTCCCAGAAGTCCTCCCTGCACATGTGTTAATGGTGACAGTATACATATCCAGCTCGGACTTTACACAGCATCATTTGAATCACATACCGACAGTAAATTCATGCTTAGTTATAAAACTACCAGATCAGTAAAACTACTATTAGACAATTGCCATTTTTATTTTACTGATCCTAACTGACCAGCTGAATTTGAGGTGGAGATAAATGTGTGTTGCTGCCAGGGTTCATCAAATGATGAATAACATAGTGCTAGTCATTTTCGAGAGGATGATATTTCCGCTATTTTTGGTATATTAATGTGGCTGAAAATCTAATCCGTAAAATAATAAAACACAGCTGTCATTTTACATCCAGATTGTGAAAGTCTAATTTGTTATCATATAATTTGATTGATTTGAAGACAAAATTAAGAAATTTTGACCTTTGAAAATTACCAGCCAAGTAATATTTTATCAGGGATTGGTGGATCAGTCTGGTATCAAAAACTCCTCAGGAAGTGGTGGATCAGTTTGGTATTAAAGACTCCCTGTAGGCCTTTATCATAACTGTCATTTGTTGAAACAGTATTTACAAAAGAATTTCCTAGATCCACCAATGCCAGAATATAACATTAAGTTTAATCATAAAGTTTGTTAAGTCTTTATAAAAAAAAACAAACAAAAATATACAGTTATGTACTGATAAAGATGGTTTGTTAATATTTATGACATAATTGACACATGAGGCAGTGATGTGTGTTTTGGTTTACTTTTTTGTACTGATGTATAATAAAATATTGTGATAGTGCGATTGGCTAGAATATTGGCCTTATAAAGGTGAAGATCTGAGGTTTGTAGTTCCAAGCTCCCTACCCATGGTGGTTTGTGGTTCTCAGGAAGCTGAGAAATTGAACATTTATTGCTGTCATACTTTTATCCTTTGACAAGGTACTTAACCCGTATTGCTCTGGATGGTAGGCAGAGGGCCTCCTGTATGATGTTCAGTGAGGTAACCATATCATCCCTTAACAAATTGCACATACACAAAAAATTGTGAAGCCACAGAAACGTACATTTAAAGACCTCGTTTTGATAGATAAATGTTTTCCTTTGCTGTTCATTCTGTTTGACAAATTGCCATGATGATATACACCGTATCTTATAAATAAGGGTGAAAAAGAAAGTCTGCCTTTGAAGTTACAATTCTAAAGTATCGTGTGAGCTAGCACAATGTATATACATTTGTATATAACATGTTTACTTTGATCATCAGGTTGGCTTCTTATTTCTCAAATATTGAATAAAATAAAACTGGAAAAAAATTATGAAAAGTTGCAATTTTTTTTATTTTTGTCCGTTAGCTTATATTTAATGTAAATTTTGCATTAAATCTTTTGTAGACTTCTAAATTAATATAATGTGAGTGGTATGTGTTGACAGTCTGTCTTAAGGTCTTGTCTTGTTTGTGTTATCTACTTATACATGGTAAGTACTTCAAAATTTGTCCAGTATTTGATAATGATACTGTATATCGCTATCTAATTGTTTTCAATGGCTCAAGTTTATGTCATTTTAGTCTCGCATGAGATCGAGTTGAAGTACACTTCTTCTACAGCAGCTTCAACATTTTTTTAAAACTTCAAATTGTTCAATTGAATTAAGTTCTATAGTCACCAAACCTACTCAATGGTTATATATACAGCAGATGCATCTTAGTGTTTTTAATGAAGATTTTAACATACAATTGACAATCAATTGAACATTGCCATGTTAAAGCTATCTGTTTAGCTCTACATACACATTTGTTTAATCCTGATGATTTGGAGGAGTGGGGACAAATGGGATTTCACTGATAGGTTCCTAGGATGAAGCCCAACAAAGTTTGCTGAAGGAAATGACCTTGACCCATATTCAAGGTCACATGGATCAAATTTGTTAAAATCTGAATACAACTTCTTGTTCGCTAAAAGGTGCAGATGCACGATGTCAGACTGATAGGTTCCAAGGATGAAGCCTGACAAAGTTTGCAATAAGATAATACCCTCATTCAAGTTTGCAGAGGGTCTAATTTGTTAAAACCTTCAAATGACTTTTTCTTGGTGACAGAGACTTGGATTTCAATTATGTGAAATGATAACAGGTAAGCAAAGCAGGCCCATTGGACCTCTTGTTATCAAAGGTCAAAGGTCAACTTTCACCATTTTTGTAAATATGAATCTTGTGTACAAGTTATACTGTGATCGCATCAACAGTAGTTCACATTCACACCATAGTATCATTCCATCAAGTTGAAGAGTGTCTGTCCATCCTTGGCACACAATCAGTTGCTATTATCTATGTTGAGTGTCAGTTACATTTGTTGCCCTTATACACAAACCTTATGTGTTAAAATTAAAGTCAGTGCTGTCATTATCATGCCAATCACTTTACATGATTTTCTTTTTTATGACAACTTGTGTAAAGCTGGGGTACAGTTTGTTATCAGAATGATCAAACGCATAAGTCTGTAATCTGTGAAAATATTGATCAATTATCATCTCTTTCTCCTCCTCGGTTCTGGATTTAGACAACCCTCCATAAATAACATGATACATCCAGGGATAGACCATGGCGACTAATTTATGGGAATATTCAAGCTTCTCTGTTTCATCTGAAAAATACAACTTTATAATTAAGATGATACCTAAATGATATTAAGTGTTGATAACATAACTTTTATCTTTACATAAGTATTATTTCAGAATTAATTCAGTTTGTGAATTCAGGCAAATTCTAGGTTTAGGTTTGAGTCAGTTTTAGGTTGTTGAAGATAATTTGATAATACATGAGGAGGCGAAGATCAAACCAAGGACAGACATGTTAATTATAACAGAGATTATACTGACATGGTAACAAAATCTTAATTCAAATTCAAATTTTATGAGACAACGACAAAATGTGAACTAAGGAAAAATTTCTATGGAGACTATTGAAAAGATAAAGAGAATCTTACAAGGTGTTCCAGAGGAGTAAGCATCTTCTGCTTCATTAGGATACCCGACATGTAAATCTTGGTCTGCATCATATAGCTGTTTAATCCTTCTAGGATTTGTAAGGGATTTTAAAACCTAGGGGCTGACAGAGGAAAATCCAAAGTGGTCAAGAAAAAGATGTCAAGATTTAAATAAGGAGGTGGACTTGTCCCCTTTTTCAATTAATATTACCTGAACATTTCTTACCTTTGTTTACAATATCAGGTAAAGGACTTTGTAAATAGTGTTTTATCAACACAAGCTCCAAACCAAGTCTCTCTACATCTGGTAAAGCACTTGTAAATGGCTCTTTAAAATCTTCTTCTGATCTCACATAGTAAGCATTGTAGTTCATGCCAAGATATTCTTCCTGGAAGAAACAAGAAAGGTAAAACAAAACTCTAAGTATTAAAATCAGTATATCAAATGTAATAATGATAATTACAAATGAAGAAACTTGAGAGTTAAATCATAATAAAAAAAATATTCTTGTTCTGTAGATCTATAACAACGTAAAATACTGTTTTTTTTCTCAAAGTAAAAAACTTCACATATGTGCAAAAATATTCTATAAAGGGCAGTTACCTGTTCAATGTTGATATTCATATCGCGAAAAAAATGTCAAAAAAGGTCATGATTGTGATCATATTCCAACAATGAAAAACATAAGGTCCGATGACAAGCTCTACAGAGGTACTACTGTAAATTGAATTAAACTTATTTTACAACATAAATTTCATTTGTGTAAACTCTTATTCCTCAAATTCATATGCCCACTAACTAGTGCATGTTGATTTATTAAGTATATTAAACGACGATTATTCAAACCACGAAAATTGACCCCCACAAAAAGATATTGTTTTTCAGTATCGTGCATTATTCCGAGACTTTATACAACACGGATCAATGTAAAAAACCAAACCTGTGTTATGATGCCTTCTTTCGCTAATTCGGACACAGTGTCCCCCATTATGACTTTTCCATTGTCCTTGAGTGTTGGACTGTTTCCTTTCTCGTCTAATGATGTGTTCAGTGTAACAAGGTAACCTCCTGAAACAACATTTTCATTATTTTATCAAATCGAACTTCGTTATATCAAACTGACAGAACTCGAAGACCCTGTTTAATGCTAAGTTCTTTATATTTCGTCAATCCTGTCCAAACTTCACACCAAACAATCGAACTTGCTTAAATCGAATAAGAAGATAACTCGAGGTTTTCTCATAATTCCGCAGACCTCGAGATAAATTTTGGCGAGGGTCAAGAGAGATTAGGTGCAAGCCTCTGGCGAGCCACTTTTGTCTTTCTGTCCCGAGTCAAACTACAGCGTATATTTGAAGACACTGACCATATATTCTGCAACATTGATTGAAAACCAGACAATCGAAACATCAACATTTTGTTGTGTCAATCTGTGTTTACCTGTCGTGGACGTTACGCTGAATTTTCCTAATCATGACGTATACCAAAATAATTGTTCCGCGCAGAAAGGTAGTTCCAAACTTAAACGGATATGACAGCGATTTTATAAATTTTCGTAAATTAATTTGTACATTTTAGAATATAAACTCATTTAAACAGTCATTTAGATTGTTAAACGATTTTTTAGTAAATTCAGAAAGTAATTCCGTCGAATTTATGCACTTGCTAAAATACAGCTGTTTCCCGTCATTGCCAAATACAGCATATATATATGTGACACGTGTATTCCAACAACGGCAGTGCCAGTTGCAGGATAAAAACTCAAATTCGTATGAACGAATAAAAAGTCTTGACAAAGGACGACGAGTGTAGCAATATTAAACACTTCGCATTGGGATTACATCGCTCAACCAGTTTTATCAAAATTGCTTCAACCATGCAGACGGAGAAGAATCTCAAAGATTTATTTGGCCCCACCCTCGGGGGACCAGACGTTTTTACCCAATGTTGACCAAAACCAGAGCTAATAAAATCCCTTCATCATAACAGCAGGAGAAGACTTTTTGCCTACCTCTATTTATATTTGAGTTCTCGCGCGCTATTCAACGACTGGTACACGTGAGATGAAAATGTATACGTATTTGCAATTATATCGAAGAGTGAAAAGACAGTCATGTTCTCATGTTTGAGTCATGACGGCCATTTTGGATTTCGGACCTGAAAAATGATAATACATAGTCCAGACCATCTCAGATTAATCTCAGACAGGTTTGAGCCGAATCCCACAAGTTGAAATTGATAATTAATTTGAAGTAGATATTTTGGCGCAATCCTGCTACAAAATGTCTGACGTAGCTGTTTCGTAGAAGTTTTGATGATAAGGGCAAATGAAACTCTTTGCCGGCTTTCTTTCCTTAAAATCACCACCAAAATTCAATTTGCCACCAGTGAAACTTTTTCAAGATGGTTGCAATATTGAATTTCGGACCGACCCGAAAAATAGCAACACTTGGTAAGGACGAAAAACGATGATTACAAATCATTCTGGCCTATTTGGTCAGTGATCTGGAATTCGAATACAAAACAAAAAATATGTTAAATAGCTGAAAATCTACAAAGAAATTGAGAAAACAGTGTAGGGGGATACACATGCAGCAAAGCCGAAACCTGAATTTAAGACAAGTTTTGTGCGGTTTGAGGCATTCCATGGGATTTTGAAAAATAACTACAGTGTATTTCCGAATGAAATATGTGAATCGTGTACATTTTGTTCTTGTTGGTTCCTGTTTGCGTAAGAAGGGAAATGCTTCATTTAATGAAGAATCAATAAAGATCACACATGGAGTATGTCAAGATCACGTGGTTTTTGTTTTCCTGTTTCACTTTTGTTGGTGCTATTTCATGTGTGCACCCCTACTTCCTTCTCCCGAGGTTAAAAAACGAAACTGATTTATGTAAAGTTACAAAACAGCCTGAGGAAGACAGCCATTGGGTTAGTTCAGGTAACCTAGGCAACCACACTAATTTTCATGAATCTGCACCGAAATTGTGGAATAGAATGTAATACAACATATGCACCTTATATATTGGGACAAATATGGACATTATATTCTCGGTAATAGATTTAGGGACAAGAGAATTGAGGCAGCGGTTTAAGGGGTATGAAAGAGAGCGCTCCTCTGCCCGGGTATGTGTACAGTTCAAGGAATTGATACTGGGACCCCAACCCCGACAATATCCCACTTGGAGCCGAGATCGACAGTCATTATTGTGCATACTGTTAACATCAGTCACTTAAACGTACCAGGTTTCAGTTCCCGTCCCCGTGATATCACAAAAGCTCTCCAATCTGTTTTTGCTTGCTCTCTCATCAATCTTTGTTCGCTGTCATCTGCCTCTTCCACGAATACTCCATCTTTTATTTGGCAAACCCTAGTAACAAGTGATCTTACATGATTTATTGCAAATTATCATTTTGTGGCTAATTTTATCTAGGAATTCAGCAATGCATGCATATGTTTTATCAACCATGTAACTGTTGACTTCTAATCTTGGGTTCGATGAGTCATTATTATCCTAAGTCACCCGTAACCTTGTAACTGTTGGACTTTTAATCTTGGTTTCGATGGGTCATTATTATCCTAAGTCACCCGTATCCTTGTAACTGTTGGACTTCTAATGTTGGTTTCGATGGGTCATTATTATCCTAACTCACCCGTATCCTTGTAACTGTTGGACTTCTAATGTTGGTTTCGATGGGTCATTATTATCCTAACTCACCCGTAACCTTGTAACTGTTGGACTTCTAATCTTGTGTTCGATGGGATACCATTATCCTAACTCACCCGTAACCTTGTAACTGTTGGACTTCTAATGTTGGTTTCGATGGGTTATTATTATCCTAACTCACCCGTATCCTTGTAACTGTTGGACTTCTAATGTTGGTTTCGATGGGTCATTATTATCCTAACTCACCCGTAACCTTGTAACTGTTGGACTTCTAATCTTGTGTTCGATGGGATACCATTATCCTAACTCACCCGTAACCTTGTAACTGTTGGACTTCTAATGTTGGTTTCGATGGGTCATTATTATCCTAACTCACCCGTATCCTTGTAACTGTTGGACTTCTAATGTTGGTTTCGATTGGTCATTATTATCCTAAGTCACCCGTAACCTTGTAACTGTTGGACTTTTAATCTTGTGTTCGATGGGATACCATTATCCTAAGTCACCAGTATCCTTGTAACTGTTGGACTTCTAATCTTGTGTTCGATGGGATACCATTATCCTAAGTTACCCGTAACCTTGTTACTTTTGAACTCTGAATATTGATTAAATCAGTATAATTTACCAACACCTACTGTGTAGACATATAGTGCGTAGCCACTGAGGACATGGCCAGATCAAGGGAGTTGTTTGGGAGACATTGTTTATACATAGTTCTAGGTATAACCATCGGATACACATTGCCGGTAACCATTACTCCCGAACCCGGACCATCGCCTGAATAAAAAGAATGAGTATGATTTAAATTTACTTGAACTTCGAAGTCATCAATTGATTTGCTAATGTTTAAAATACAGAATGTTTCGTCTTTAATTTTGTCATAAAGCTACGACTTAACATGGATTTGTAATTAATTTAAATATAAGGAACTTTCAGAGATAAATACTGAAGTGTTTTCAAATCTACCAATTAATGTTTTCCGCAAATTCATTTTATGTGTTTTGTTGGATCAATCAAACTGATAACCAAATAGCGATTAAAAAACAAGTAGTTCACGGTATTCAAAATTAAGGTAAGGCAAAGAACGCAAGGCGATATTCACAATACAAACGAACATTCCTGGGTAAGAATGATATCAACATCAACAGTCACATATTAAATCTTAACGGTCGAACCTCGTTATCTCGAACTCGTATAACTCGGAGACCCCGTTTAACTCGAAGCATTTCGTCGGTCCCTGTCCAACTTAACACAAAACATTCGAATACTCTTTTATCTCGAATTTTCCTATGGTCCCACCTAGTTCGAAATAAAGAAGTTCCATCTGAAAGTACTACCTAGAATAACTTTGCTCAGAAGATTAAAGTCGTTCATCGGTTGATCGTTATAATACACGATAATGGCTTGTTCCTTCCCTAATTCTGTTTGTATTGTCGCTGTAATGATAAAAAGAAAAGTAAGTGCACTTTGATATATCATAACAATCGGGTGACATGGTTACGCACTCGATTTTCACATAGCCGTCTGGGGTTCGATTCCCAGAATTGACGTGAAAGGGTATGGGTTCTCTGGTTTCCTCTGTTAGTAAGATCCCTCGTTCGCTTCCATCCAGGCCAACAAGACTGATTGATATAAGCTGGGAAAATTTGTTTCGCAATTGTTAATTGTAAATAAATTAAAGTTTACTTAAACAATAAATACCGAAAAAAGTATTTGAGCTTTCGTCGGCTCGGCTTAATGCTTTCGAAGACGAATGCAAAACCATCAGCGCCGCCTGTACACAATATCCTTTATTGGTTTCTATTATTTTTCATAGTTCCATGTAACATAAACAAAATGTTCAGGACACTAACTACGGGTTTATGTGATTTACACGTTCAATATTTACCTGTAATTTCACTAACTACGGGTTTATGTGATTTACACGTTCAATATTTACCTATAATTTCACTAACTACGGGTTTATGTGATTTACACGTTCAATATTTACCTATAATTTCACTAACTACGGGTTTATGTGATTTACACGTTCAATATTTACCTATAATTTCACTAACTACGGGTTGATATGATTTACACGTTCAATATTTACCTGTAATTTCACTGACTAACGTTCAATATTCACCTACAATTTCACTAACTAACGTTCAATATTTACCTATAATTTCACTAACTACGGGTTTATGTGATTTACACGTTCAATATTTACCTGTAATTTCACTAACTAACGTTCAATATTTACCTATAATTTCACTAACTACGGGTTTATGTGATTTACACGTTCAATATTTACCTGTAATTTCACTAACTAACGTTCAATATTTACCTATAATTTCACTAACTAACGTTCAATATTTACCTATAATTTCCTTGACGAGATCAAGAGAAGCCACGCCGTCGGCAGTCCCGAAATCGGCCACGCTTATAGGCTGCGCCGACTGACATTTTGATCTTGAGCAAATTATTTTGTCTATAGAAAACAAATTTTCATTTAAACGTGAATGCTACATACAATATATATATGAAAATAGATTATGTTCACTTCATCATTACTTAAGAGAAGAATGAAACTAAAAGGGATACATTAGGCCTATAGCAAATTTTTCTATTAAATTATAGATTGTGCTTCATCAAATTCACATTATATTTTAGAATATGTCTTTATTAATAGTATTACAATAACACTTGTTCTAATCTGAAATTATTCTTTTTACTTATCTGTACCACGTGTAACATGCCTTCGTGCCATTATTTTATATTGTCTCGTACTTATACCGTCCAATATCGACTCCCTACAAAGATTGCCAGCGTGACCATGGACATTGTACATATCGTGCATTTCCCTGCTAAACCTCGTATTCATCTTCATCGTTGGAAAATTACTAAAACGAAAACAAGAACAACGTAACACTACACGGAGGCAGTAAACAAACAAGCAAACAAAAAACAATAGAAAAAAAAACAGCAAAAAAAAAGAACAACAAAAACACAAACAGTAAGAAGGCAATAATCAAATATGGGTATTCTAGTGATGATTGCACCGAAAAAAAATGTGTTCTCAGCATTCTTTTTTTTATTTCCGTGATTTTTTCATATGTTTGAATTCGATGGAAATTGGATTTTACAATAATAAAGAGAGAGAGAGAGAGAGAGAGAGAGAGAGAGAGAGAGAGAGAGAGAGAGAGAGAGAGAGAGAGAGAGAGAGAGAGGGTGGGAGAGAGAGAAAAAGAGAGGGTGGGAGAGAGAGAGATAGAGAGAGGTTACGCTACACATGATGAAGTGATAATTTAGAAACGTTATTAAGTATGTTGTTTATTCCATCTATTGAACACATTTTGTATTTGTGTTTGTGTGGAATGCAAAACATGTGTCAAGAAAAACAAAGATGACAAAGATGTGGTCAGAACATTAATGACTGATTATGCTAAAATGCCAAAAAACAAATATCTCCATATCAACAAGCTCTGCACCCCTACTCTTACACTAAAAATTTCCCAAATAATGTTCAGTACACAAGCCTGATCTTTAATTGAGGAAACAAAGTATCTATTCGCTAGTTTTTTTCTGTAAGTGTACGTTAAATGTCGTACGACAGATAACCGGTTTTATTTACACTATATGATGATGCCTGCTTTATGTGTTACACATTTTCTATGATTAATGTATAATGCAAAAGCTCATCTTGGAGTCAAACAATGATTACTGGTTAGTCATATATCATTCAATGAAACAAAAAAAAATCCAATAAGTTCATTGTAATAGTTTACTGCGTTGCGATGATAAAACTTTAAAAAAAAAAGTGAAAAGGTAAGAGGTAAGTTCGCTTTTCTCGATATTCCAATCACCAGCAAACTAAAATCGAATTCATCTAGTCCGTGTTGATTACTTACATAATAAGTAGATCTTGATCAAAATCAAATCCAATTTGCATATTTAAATAACTCATTTAAATATGTTGTCAAATTTGGACACAGTGAGGTTTAAAAGATAAGATAATATTTTGATGGACGCAGGCAAAATAAATGCCTCTATATCCATATCTACATTATAGTTTTAGAATTGATCAGTATTTCGATTTAAACATAACTCCCTCATTAGTCCAATTCACACAAATCTTATGATCCCTACAAAATTAATTAATTCATCCTATTCCCGATTGTTAAATATTAATTGCCTGTAGTTGGACTACTCTCCGTTTCCATGGAGGCCCACGGATCCGGTAAACAAAGCCTTCGGGTTCTTCGCTTTCTTTCTCGATGGCTTCTGCTCTTAGTTCCTTCTCTGGACAACAGTAAGATCATTTCTGATTCGGATTTAAAATCTCCCTTGTTTAGAAGCAAAGACACGCCCACCACCATTTCTTATATTGGTGTATGGTCTATGAGTTTTAAAGTCATTTGCATACATGGTGCTGTTTCACTTAAAATTCAATGCAATGAATAAAATCAACCTGTTAGGGGGTATTCATGTTTAAAACAACCAACTACGTAGTAATATTTTTGCGGAAAAACTTAAATATGGTGAGGTTTTGAAGCTATTATGCTCTGGTGTTGTGGATCTCTTTCACATACGTTCTATATACGTTACCTATCCCGTGATACCTAATGTTAGCATGTAAAAATAATGAAATGAAATCAGTTAAAGGGAGGTGAAGACCGAAATTTATTACCACAATTTACAAAGTGCAATTCCCGACATTAGTTCACTGTCTGATTTCATTGACATTCTGAAATGAGTGCATTTGAAATGAATATATTTGAAACACCGCGATTAAAATCTGTCTTGTTGTATATATAAAGAATACAAGAGCTTATTATATATGTCTTCTAAAAGAAGCCAAGTGTGATTTTCCTGTCAAGCATGGGTTGTCACAGGAACAAAGCTCCCTAAAAGAGTGCTCCGCTTGCTCCCATTCCTTATCGCTTCTATAAATACGGTGCTGCCGTGTGAGGTACGGTATACTGAGGTTTTGTACACTGTTAGGATTTCTTCTGAGCACATGTTAACCGTGTCTTTATTCAATGGTATTTATTTATGAATTTCCGTAATTGTCTGTGCAAAATGTTTGTCTATGTAAGGATGTGTGATTACAAAAGATTCTGTCTTTAATTCGTTAATTTAATTCTTTATCAATTGTTGTAAATTGCATCCTGTCGATATAATGTATGATCTAGGGCCCCTTAGTATAAATGTCAAGGTTATACAATTCCGATTGATCTATATAGACATGTTTGATGTAACCTCGAGAAATAGGTGATCATAACAGGTACTTGTTTTCAGCTAGTACAAATAGACTTCTCGGACGGTGGAAGAAAGTCGGTATGTATCCTGTTTCGAACAAAATATAATAATGCAATTTATATCAACTTATATCTTATTTGGAGAGAGAGACAGAGACAGAGAGAGAGAGACAGACAGAGAGACAGAGAGAGAGAGAGACAGACAGACAGACAGAGAGACAGAGAGAGAGAGAGAGAGAGAGAGAGAGAGAGAGAGAGAGAGAGAGAGAGAGAGAGAGAGAGAGAGAGAGAGAGAGAGAGAGAGAGAGAGAGAGAGAGAGAGAGAGAGAGAGAGTAAAAACGTATGGAAAAGTAACTATTTGTTCTGTTGCGTACTTGAATTTCTACAGTCGGGATTACCTCCCTTATTACATCTTTCCTCCGCTATACTGCGCTCGTTGTACTCTCGAAAAGAAGTATACCGGAGAGTGGAAATACTATGGAAGGCAATGCCACTTTTGCAGAAATAGTAGTCTGGTTGAACGAGACCTATATCTACGTTTGTAATGGTTGAATATCTTTCACATCCCTTCAGTGGTTCTTTCATGAAAATAAACCAAAAGATTCCTCAAAATCATTGTCAATTACAAGAATTATAGTCATGAACTGAAATAAAAAAAAAATATATATATCTTAAATAAATAAATAAAATAAAACCTACCTGTACATCGACATTGTCCGTGATATTTACAGGTGATATAATGAACAGGATACTCACGTATAATTTACAGCCATAGCCACCTTTACAGAATGAGATGACACTGGTCAATAAAATATGCAAGCAAGCAAACTTCTTATGTACTCGGTAGTTTGTCGAGTGACATGAATTTCATTGTTAAGAGGGTAATATATGTATCTGCACGATTGCAGATTTACATGTTTTTCAATCTCACTGTCACATTGGTTCATGGTACACATGGTAGGAATCTGTTCTGTGACCCAGGTTGCTAGTTACTGTGCCCTTTTGTTGTGTGGTTCGGGGTAAAATGTAGAAATCTCTGTTCTGTGATCTAGGTTATTATGCGAGCTTTACGCTGAGCAATAAGGCCGCGAGTTATGGGATGGGTATTTAAGATGGCTTCCAGTTTTTGCTGAAGCCCAGTTCTCACTGTCGAGAATCAGGGCCACGGATGGCTACAATTTCCAAACCGTGGGTATCCTTGGATAAGACCGTAGGAGCACCGTGGCGGCACCGTAGGTATCCTTGGGCAATCGTATATAACCTTGTGTGTCCGTAGGACAATCGGCACTCCTACGACAGCTTTGAAATGTTCAAAACAATCGTGGCGATGCTACGATTTGATTTTTACTGTAGCGGATTCGTAAGTTAGTCGTAGGTTATCGTAGGTCCATCGTGAAAGCATTCGGATTACTACGTTTTCGGTACGATTGATGACGATGCGTGTACGGTTGATAGCGATTTAATACGATTTCGATACGGATTACTACGCATGCGCTAAGAATTTCTACGTTTTGCCTAGATTGTTTAATGATTATCCTACGATTCACTAGGTCAACAGAAGTTCTATAAATACTGACCATAACCCGAGATCCTTCTACTTAACCTCCTTTTTCTCAAATAGAAGACATCTGACAAATACTGATGGAACAGATATGGAAAATGGCACCCAAAACAAAACAGACAAACAAAAAACAAAAAATCACTCGTACTTTCAAAGTTCCGCAACTGGAACATGTAACGCTTTCCGATGACGAAAACGAGTACTTCACAATTGAAAGACTTCTTCGCGAATTCGTTGTTCCTTTCATACCGAATTTTCCTCAAATCGTAAGAGATCTTGACTTATCTTGGTTGTTCGTAACTCAACAGTAATTCTTCTTAGGGTAATCGTACGAGAAACGTGATTAATCGGCTGTAATCGTAAATATCCTTAGAGTGTTCGGCCGTCATCGTGAAGCATTCGTCAGTATTCGTTGGGTGATCGTATCTTGACCGTAGCGGATCCCTGAAGAACAGTAGCAACTTTGGCAAATCGTGATGATTCGTCTGCTCAATCGCCAAGAATCGCACAAACATCGTGAATATTCGTAACATCTTCGTAGGAAATCCGTAGAACAAATTGATCGTGGAGATTTGTATCAAGAATCGCCACGATTACCATGTCCACGATTGTCAACGATTAATCGGCATCATCCGTAGCTTCGTTCTTGACAGTGTGACCTGGGCTTTAATATTTTGTACAGAAACAGAAAGGTTATATTCATCGAAAATGTGTCCTTCATGTCTGTCCTGATCTTATACAAACTACACAGGGCACAAAATTTTATGGATCACTTTTTTGAATTTTTTTTTCAAAAGGCAAAGTCGCTGTGGTGCTGAAATTTAGGGAAATCGTGTCTTCCTTGGCCTAGCTACATAAGTCTAGCCCATGGAGCCCATTTGTCTGTTTTTATCCCATATTACCAGAGACGTATATATCACTGATATTACTATATGTGGCTGCTGCCTTTGGTGGATAAGCCGAATTTATTTCCATACGTTCTGGAGCCACCAATGCCAAACCTAATTACAAAGAAAATATCGATAGGTCAACAGAATCTTAACTCGGGTAACGAACAAATATTTAAGAATTAAAATTTACACGGAGATCACCAGGTGTTCTCAAGTGGTAAGCGTCTTTTGCATATGATCTGGCCATATTCTATGGAAGATTTCTTGGTTTGAGTTATCCCTGTAGGCAAAATTCATCACTATATACTAAACAAAAAAAGAAAGTAACACTACTTTATTCTGTGATTAATTAATTAACCCCTTCATAAATCCTTACCAATCATGGACGAATAAAGTAATTGATCAATTCTAATAAAACTGCAGTCATGGTTCATTATAAAACTTTGCGTTCAGTTGATTTTATTCGACTGTAAAGGGCGTTGGGGTCAATTTCAAAGGTAACACCATTAGTAACGGGTATGGCCACCGTTTGAGAAGTAAAGAGCATTGCAGCGTCGTCGCATGGAACTCGTAAACCGGCGGATAATTCGAGGAGAGATGTTGTTCCATTCAGCGATCAAGGCTTGGGCCAGCTCCTGCAAGTTTGACGGCTGATTTTGATGTTCTCTTACGCGTCGCCCAAGAACGTCCCAGACATTCTCAATCGGTGACAAATCAGGTGATTTAGATCACCAATCTAACACCTGTACGTTATTCTGCTGCAAGAAAGTTCTGCTGACGCGACTGGTGTGCGCTGGTGCGTTATCCTGTTGAAAAATGGCGCCAACGCCATGGCGTCTTAAGAATGGCAGAACCACTGGTCTTAAAAATTTCGTCCCGATATCGAATGCCGGTTGAAATTTAACACAACAAGCCTGGTACGAGTCCCCCCACAAATACCACCCCAAACCATTACACTTCCGCCGCCAAAGCGGTCCCGCTCTGCGACGCAGCAGTTCGCAAAACGCTCCCCTCGTCGCCTCCACACTCTGCGCCTTCCGCCACCGTGTTTCAGACAAAACCTGGACTCATCTGAAAACAGAACATTGTTCCATTGTCGTAAGGCCCAACGACGGTGAACACGGGTCCAGTTACGCCGATTACGGTGACGTCGCAACAAATTGGGTCCAGTGTAGAGACGCCGCGCTTTCAATTGGTAGGCCCTCAACCTGTTGCGGTCTGTTTGGGGAGACACACGACGCCCAAACAATGTCCTTGTAGTCTCTACTGCGGTTACGAATCGATTGCGCAAGTGTATCAATCATATACGACGGTCATCCCTGGCGGTCGTTTTACGGGGTCGGTCGCTTCGGGGACGATCGGATGTTGACCCAGGATGGTTTAAACGACTTACTAACTGGCAAATTGTCTTAACACTGCAACCAAAATGCCGTGCAACTCGACGGCAAGACTCCCCAGCCTGGATCATGCCTACAGCCGTTTCTCTCTGTACTTGTGACAGCCGGGGCATAATGATAAAGTTTGAATGTTTATGAAATTCAAGCGAAGATACAAGTTTGTCGCAGAGTATATTCGGTCACATCAACTTTTATTATGATTTAATGAATATGTAATCTATTGCACCTGTTCAGGATTCCCTATAATAAAACCTTGTGTCAGGATTCCCTATAATGAAACCTTGTGTCAGGATTCCCTATAATGAAACCTTGTGTCAGGATTCCCTATAATAAAACCTTGTGTCAGGATTCCCTATAATAAAACCTTGTGTCAGGATTCCCTATAATAAAACCTTGTGTAAGGATTCCCTATAATAAAACCTTGTGTAAGGATTCCCTATAATGAAACCTTGTGCTAGGATTCCCTATAATAAAACCTTGTGTCAGGATTCCCTATAATAAAACCTTGTGTCAGGATTCCCTATAACCTTGTGTCAGGATTCCCTATAATACCCTGTGTCAGGATTCCCTATAATAAAACCTTGTGTCAGGATTCCCTATAATAAAACCTTGTGTCAGGATTCCCTATAATAAAACCTTGTGTCAGGATTCCCTATAATAAAATCTTGTGTCGGGATTCCCTGTAATACAGACTTGTGTCAGGATTCCCTATAATGCAAACTTGTGTCAGGATTCCCTATAATAAAACCTTGTGTCAGGATTCCCTATAATAAAAAACCTTGTGCTAGGATTCCCTATAATAAAACCTTGTGTCAGGATTCCCTATAATAAAACCTTGTGTCAGGATTCCCTATAATAAAACCTTGTGTCAGGATTCCCTATAATAAAACCTTGTGTCAGGATTCCCTATAATGAAACCTTGTGTCAGGATTCCCTATAATGAAACCTTGTGTCAGGATTCCCTATAATGAAACCTTGTGTCAGGATTCTATAATAAAACCTCAGGATTCCCTATAAAACCTTGTGATTCCCTATAATGAAACCAGGATTCCCTATAATGAAACCTTGTGTCAGGATTCCCTATAATGAAACCTTGTGTCAGGATTCCCTATAATGAAACCTTGTGTCAGGATTCCCTATAATAAAACCTTGTGTCAGGATTCCCTATAATAAAACCTTGTGTAAGGATTCCCTATAATAAAACCTTGTGTCAGGACCTTGTTCAGGATTCCCTATAATAAAACCTTGTGTCAGGATTCCCTATAATAAAACCTTGTGTCAGGATTCCCTATAATAAAACCTTGTGTCAGAATTCCCTATAATACAGACTTGTGTCAGGATTCCCTATAATAAAACCTTGTGTCAGGATTCCCTATAATAAAACCTTGTGTCAGGATTCCCTATAATAAAACCTTGTGTCAGGATTCCCTATAATAAAACCTTGTGTCAGGATTCCCTATAATACAGACTTGTGTCAGGATTCCCTATAATAAAACCTTGTGTCAGGATTCCCTATAATAAAACCTTGTGTCAGGATTCCCTATAATAAAACCTTGTGTCAGGATTCCCTATAATAAAACCTTGTGTCAGGATTCCCTATAATAAAATTCCCTATAATAATAAAACCTTGTGTCAGGATTCCCTATAATAAAACCTTGTGTCAGGATTCCCTATAATAAAACCTTGTGTCAGGATTCCCTATAATAAAACCTTGTGTAAGGATTCCCTATAATAAAACCTTGTGTCAGGATTCCCTATAATAAAACCTTGTGTCAGGATTCCCTATAATAAAACCTTGTGTCAGGATTCCCTATAATAAAACCTTGTGTCAGGATTCCCTATAACAAAACCTTGTGTCAGGATTCCCTATAATATAACCTTGTGTCAGGACTCCTATAATAAAACCTTGTGTCAGGATTCCCTATAATAAAACCTTGTGTCAGGATTCCCTATAATATAACCTTGTGTCAGGACTCCTATAATAAAACCTTGTGTCAGGATTCCCTATAATAAAACCTTGTGTCAGGATTCCCTATAATACAAACTTGTGTCAGGATTCCCTATAATAAAACCTTGTGTCAGGATTCCCTATAATAAAACCTTGTGCCAGGATTCCCTATAATACAAACTTGTGTCAGGATTCCCTATAATAAAAACTTGTGTCAGGATTCCCTATAATAAAACCTTGTGTCAGGATTCCCTATAATAAAACCTTGTGTCAGGATTCCCTATAATAAAATCTTGTGTCAGGATTCCCTATAATAAAACCTTGTGCCAGGATTCCCTATAATACAAACTTGTGTCAGGATTCCCTATAATACAAACTGTGTCAGGATTCCCTATAACAAAACCTTGTGTCAGGATTCCCTATAATACAGACTTGTGTCAGGATTCCCTGTAATATAACCTTGTGTCAGGATTCCCTATAACAAAACCTTGTGCCAGGATTCCCTATAATACAAACTTGTGTCAGGATTCCCTATAATACAAACTGTGTCAGGATTCCCTATAACAAAACCTTGTGCCAGGATTCCCTACAAGAGGCCCAGGGAGCCTGTATCGCTCACCTGGATCTTTATGACCAACATTACTATATCTGTGCATATGTTCCACGTTTAACACATTTGACCCCTGTGAACTTGACTATGGGTCAAGGTCATTTCTTTTACTTTCTTGGACTTCATAAAAGGAACATACTGGCCAAATATAATGATTCTAGACTTCACGATATTTCAGAAGAAATTGTTTAAAACGTTTTAACACATTTGACCTCAGTGACCTTGAATATGGGTCATGGTCGTTTCTTTAGCAAAATTTGTAGGACACCATAAGAGTAACATAGTAGCCTAATATAATGATTCTAGGCCTTTCGTTATTTTTAAAGAAGTCGCTTAAAGTTTTAAACACATTTGACCTATGTGACCTTGAATATGGGTCAAGGTTATTTTTTTCGTAAACTTTGTTGGGCTTCATCAAAGGAACTATCAAGCCATATACAATGATTCTAGGCCTTCCAGTATTTTGGAAGAAGTCGTTGAAAGGTTTTAACACATTTGACCTCACTGACCTTGAATATGGGTCAAGGTCATTTCTTTTTGCAAACTTTGTAGGACACCATAAGAGGAACATAGTAGCCTAATATAATGATTCTAGGCCTTCCGGTATTTCGGAAGAAGTCAGTTAAAGATTTTAACACATTTGACCTCAGTGACCTTGAATATGGGTCAAGGTCGTTTCTTTTAGCAAACTGTGTTTGGCTTCATCAAAGAAACCTTTCAGCCAAATATAATGATTCTAGGCCTTCTGGTATTTCGGAAGAAGTCGTTTAAAGGTTTTAACACATTTGACCTCTGTGACCTTGAATATGGGTCAAGGTCGTTTCTGTTAGCAAACTTTGTTGGGCTTCATGAAAGGAACCTTCCAGCCAAATATAATAATTCTAGGCCTTCTGGTATTTTGGGAGAAGTCGTTTAAAGGTTTTAACACATTTGACCTCTGTGACCTTTAATATGGGTCAAGGTAATTTCTTTTTGCAAACTTGGAACCTTCCAGCCAAATATGATTACTCCACACCTTTCGGTATTTCAGAAGAAGTTGTTTAAATGAAAAGTTGATGGACGCCAGACGGAAGGACGACGGACCAGAGACGGACTGATGGATGGACATCTGGACAACGGACGCCGTGCTATGGCATAATCTCACTTGGCCCTTTGGGCCACGTGAGCTAATAACAAACACTTATGTCAGAATTCCCTATAATGCAGACTTGTGTCAGGATTCCCTATAATACAAACTTGTGTCAGGATTCCCTATAATACAAACTTGTGTCAGGATTCCCTATAATAAAATCTTGTGTCGGGATTCCCTGTAATACAGACTTGTGTCAGGATTCCCTATAACACAAACTTGTGTCAGGATTCCCTATTATAACAAGAGGCCCAAGGGGCCTTAACGGTCACCTGAGGAATATATGTCAATAATCTGGGGATTTTAAAATGTTGCAAAAATGTAACAACACTTGTGCAGGACCATGTGTAAAACATCTGTACCAAGTTTGAACATGACCCACCCAATGGTTCTTGAGAGGAAGTCTATAATGTCTCAGCCAAACAGAGGCCAAGGTGGCCATCTTGGATTTTGAATCGCCCCAAAAAGTTAAAACACTTGCCAGGACCTTGTGTAGAACATTCGTATCAAGTTTCCCCTATTGGGGCCATGCCCTTTTTGTTCGCTTTGTGCCAAGTTTGGTCAAAATCCATCCACTGGTTCTTGAGAAGTAGTCATTTAATGAAGGTACATATGGCCCCTTTTACACTCCTAATGGGCCCCAAAGGCGACATAATCACTTTTTTCAACATAATTTCATATGTCTTTCACTAAGGGATGCTGTCTACCAAATTTGGTTGAAATCGGTCTAAGTTGAATTTTTGACCCATAAGGACCCTAAATATCAAATATGAATTTAATCTGACTGTTGGTTCATGAGAAGAAGATTTTTAAATATTTACCTAATTTTACCCCATTTTTCCCCCTCCTGCGCCCCCTATTGGAGCCACACCCTTTTTCTTGAAGCGGCTTCCCATGGGGATGCTTTGTGCCAAGTTTGGTCAAAATCCATTCAATGGTTCTTGAGAAGAAGTCAAATATGTGAAAAGTTAACGACGCACAACGACAGACAAATCATGAAGGCAATAGGTTACCATGAGCCTTCAGCTCAGGCGACCTAAAAATATAACTTGAATACCAACACCTTTTACAACAAGCTTTATTTTGATGCATCAACAAAACTAAGGCCTGAAATCAACATAATACAATAGAGGTATCAAATATACTCCTCCAGACAGTTCACGATAAACTGACCAGTGGAACATTAGAATATCCCACAATACACTGACCACTGGAACATTAGAATATCCCACGATAAACTGACCGCTGGAACATTTGAATATCCCACGATACACTGACCACTGGAACATTAGAATATCCCACGATACACTGACCACTGGAACGTAAGAATATCCTATTAAAACTGACCACTGCAGTATTCATTGATAAATACAGGTAATGTCTCCTAGTCATTACCTCAGCTTAAAGACAATATCATAAGTAAACATTGGAAATAAAAATCAACTGACTAGAAATTTCACCTGGGAGAGATTATCACCATAGTGATCTCAGGAATTCTCCATCAATATCTCCCAAAGTGCTTAGTGGTATGTATACTTTCAAACGAAAGCAAGGAAGACAACTCTTCTAGAGATGGCTTCTTGGTGGAAAGTGTTAAATTTATGTCTCTGGTGCATGATATACTTTATAATGGCAGTGAAAGTTTGATGATATACAAGATTATGGCAGTTTATAGACCAGTATCACAATGTGTTTTATTCTGTACCACCAGATATTTCTAAAAAAATCTTAAGGTGTACATGGATAGATGTGTGTGAAATTTCAGGGGTACAAATACTTTCGGTTTAATATTAATACAATGTAATATTTCATCAGTTTTTTACAACACAGAATGTCTGAAAGCTAAATGTGGAAAACTTGAACACAGAATGAAGTTGCTTCTCTTTACAAAAATGATAACTGCTGTTTTTCAGTTAATTGTGATTGGAATAGCATAGTATGGTATTATGAAACAACATGAAATTGTGTTTTAACATTGTTCAATTTTGCTTATTATGATAATTTGTTTGCATAATGAGGGGAAATTGTCATGAATAATTGTGTCATATTTTTTTCTTCAATTACTGCCAATGAAAAATAGTTTCCATGCATAAAATATTTAAACAAACTAAATTAAAATATTATGAAAGTTTTGCTGTAGTAATTACATTGAGGAAAAATCAACAAGTAAAGAAACAGAAATGATATATAATCATGAAATAAAGATATATCGCACACAAAAAATGAAAAAACAGAAATGGTATAAACTTGTGTAGGAAATAGAACAGCTTGTGTAGAGTTGTAGAATATTCACATAGAACAAAACCTGGTGTATGGCAGATCTTTCTAGAGACAGAAAATTAAAAAACAAGCTGATCACTTAAGTATTCAAACAATAAATAGTTATGGTATATAGAAATAACTTAGCACATAAAAAACAAATTATGACATATCTATTTCAATCAGAAAATACAAATTAACAAACTAAAAGCTAAGAATAACACCTCACCTAATACCCATGACCTTTCACCTCTGACCTCAGAACTTAAGAAAGTGTTCTGTTTACAAATCTCTGACCAAAACCACCTTTTTAAATATAAATTTTGGAATCAATTTCACGAGAGCAGTCAAATCAAGTTTACACCATGTTAGCTCCAAGACAATGCTGCATTTTAATGTATGAATTTATCAGATATTTAAAAGTCAGAATAAAAAAATACTAGAGTACAGTTGCTCTAGTGTCACATTCTCATCCAAAAATGTCTTTGGTTTGAAAAAATCTAATTAAGCAAAGTATTCTGAGACTTTTTTTACATGTTATTAATAATCTCATAACTAACATCAACTAATTTGTTTGTAAAAGAATGAAATAAGAAAAAAAAAATAAAATTGAACATTCAGATCTACCTCAGAGTCATATTTCATCATTATAATGTGCAAAAAATATTGCTTTTGAAGACAGTGCAACAGTCTAATGACTTCAGAACAAACTTATAAACAAAAACTTGACAACAATTGGAAAGTATGGAACATTTGGTTTTTGAAAATATACATATAAAAAAAAACAATATCATATTGTGATTTCTTTATAGAAAATAAGTCATTATTGGTCTATGAGCATAAGTGCTTCATTTAGTGACATGGAAAAATGTTATCAATGATGACATAGTGATATATATTTGGAAAATGAAAGTAGAACATTACATATATTTAATGGTTATAATAATCAACTCATTTTGTCACACAGAATGGATGATAAAACAATGATAATCATATAGAAAATGAAAGTAGCATTGAATTGGTCTTAAGTCATGGTGACGACTACTTTACTTTTTATATACTGAAAAGATAACAAACTTATAACATAGAAAACAAAAGAAGCATTGATTTGCTTTAGAACCTTGATCAGCAGCACCTAATTCTTCGACAGAAAACAGTTTTAAACTACAACAAACTAATAAGGCACAAATTAATAAGGAAAACTTCACAGATTGATTGGTAAAGTTATAACAATGAAACATCCGACAATCGCACAGTGTACATTTAAAACACTTACACCAATTATGATGGAAAAACATCAGACACATGAAGTGCAAGCATACAATATATATTGCACAATTCTATCAATAAAGATTGCGTATAATTGAAAGTTAGGATTCTTTAGGAAACAGACTTTCATATGCAGAATTACTTGCATGTTTCTTTTTGCATTATCATGAAAAATAGCTATCTGCCATTTTGGGAAAATAAATTCTACTTTAGCAAAACCAAAATATAAACAATAAAATTCTTTGTGTGTTATGAACTGTAAGCATTTCTTATAAAAAGAACAAAATAAAATAGTGATGAGACAGATCTAAGACTGTACTGTTTGGACAGGTGTCACAGCACAATTTCACATGCACAGTAAAATTGAAGATTTTATCAATATTCAGATAAATGGAACAAGCTTAATCCACTAAATATCCTTTTTATCTGTTCTTTTATCATACCGACACACTGGGGAACATTGTTTTGTAAGAAGAAGAAAAAATGAACAAGGCAGATTTTGACTTCAGCTGTACAAATTAACATTTTCATCATCCTTGAATTCATTGGCAGTATAATGAAGAGAGAGAAAAGATGTGAGAAAAAAAAATTTCCCTACAGAAATTATATAATGGTACTGGCAAATAGAACATTTTGTTATAAACACTGGTAGATTGGACACATTGTAGAACAATGATCAACGTCTTTGATTGATGTACACCAGACATAGAATGTGTAATGAACTTTTCATAAAAGCAATTAGATCAAAAGCCACACTTCAGTAGACAAGCTTGATGTGATCATGTTGTCATCACATGATAGTTTAGTTGATGATTCTGTGACCTTGACCCTCAAGTGGTTACATGACCTAATAAACCTGCTGATTCTGTGACCTTGACCCTGGTATGTAAAACTGTATGATGAAGAAAACATTCAACAATTCAATAATTATCACATCATTTAGACAATAGTTGATGACAATGTGAAATCTTCATACCTACAAATTTGTGATGTTGTCTACTTTAACGTTTGATTACTCAATTACAAATTCAAATAATCATAACTTTGATGTGAAACAACAACTAAAAATAATTCTCAAATTTAGTGATGGGATATTGCATTGAGATAGAGTATACCTACCAAGGGGAGATAATAAGACTTCAAGATTATCTCCCTTTAATTCCTTCAGAATTTGTATATAAGTTATCAACTGAATAATCACCCTTTCATTTTCAAGTTCACAGTCTTACAATGGATTACAAACACTGACACAATGGATTTAGGCACCAATCACAATGGAAGCCAATGGTATAGACAGGGTCAGAGACACAACATTTACTTGGAAGTCAAAAAGACAAGTGCAATCAACAACTTATCTCCATTTAGAAAATCCATGAACAGTGGCAAGTGAAACCAGCCAGAGATCTGAAATAGAGATCTGGCTGTACCTCACCACAATTAAACCAACAGAAGCAAATGGGTCTAGGTTTGCGGTTTGTTTTTATTAATTACTTAATTGCTCTTTGGCCTGGTAATGTTAGGAATTTACTCAAGCGAATCCATAGATGAATTGATCAATAGTATATAGATTATGTGTATATCACAAATATTCTATTCTTTATCAAACTATATAGAATATGGTCAAACAAGCACCCCTTTTTGAAAAAAAATACCTATAATAAAATAAAATTTGTAATTATTTAAAGAAGTTTATTTATTTTGTAAAAAAAAATCAGAATTTAGAATGAACTATGTCAGGATTGACCTTAGGGTTCAAAATATATTTCTTTACCATCCTAACAGATAATATGTAATCTCTGAGATATATTACGTCCTGTTGGAATAAAATGACATGAAACATGCATCATCAATATTGAATACAATAGGAATGAATGAAAAAACGATGATGGTTTTGAATGTTACAGTATAACAGTGTATACAATATAGGAGATATTGTAGCTTACATATAGCACCTGTTTAGGCTTTGTTCTTCCACAATATTGTATCGCAACAGAAAAATGCAGACTCCCAAGGTTTAAGGACATGTGAACATTTAGGATACTGAATATCATATTAGGCAAGACCATTCAACAACAGTAAGACAACAACTGGTAAAGAGAGTTATAAATGGTTTCACAAGAATATCACTGTAACCACTGCCACAGTGTTCTGTAGTATATATCACAACAGGTATTTCCAATGCAGTTTAAAGTCTAGTATCATTTTGAGTTTTTTCGAACACCCAAAAAAGTCTGGTTTCTTCTCTAAAAAGACTAGTTTTCATTAGTAAGTGGTTTTGTACTCTCCAACTCCATGTAAAAGTCTGTTTTTTACAGTTGTAAAGTTGGAACTATATACAGCTCGGAGCCAAACATCTGGTTTTTTTTTTTTAACTAGCCACAAGTAAACTTTAAACGGTCACACAAATGTCTGACAAGAGATAAAGTCCGAAAGTCGTTCAGTCATAGTTTAAGAAATATTCCAAAGTATTTATCACAAATCCTCTGTTTCCATAGCAACCCTGTTTAGTTAAAATATATGCATTCTCTGATTTCAGCTGTGTGCTTAAGAAACAGATGAACACTTTCTTTTTCACCAGATCTCATCCTTTTATCCAGTTGCACATAAAGACCGCAGCTTTTTCCTGTGTAAGTGAGAACAGCGAAGTACAAAGGCAGGTCATCATCTGTGCTAGAGATAGATTTTCCTCTGTGTGATAAAATGGCAGATAATATAGCCAAGGGACACAACTCTCCTGTGCTATGTCCCCGTATCTTCTGTGATCCAGGCAACTATTTTTCCTTCCCAGCCTGGTATGATATCCATATCATTGGTTACCTGTAATAGCACACATACAGAACACATCAGAACGAAGACAATTAGTTTCAGTAATGCTGACATATCTACAAAGAACTCTAAACAAAGTTAATCTCTTTGTAAAATGAACATTTGACTTCGATACAAACAAGACTTCCACGGATGTGGATGTGTCTCCTGCCAAACAAGGTCTCTGGAGATGAGGTTTATGGCAAAATAGACAGAGATATTCATTATATTTATTCCATTTATATAATTTGCCAACTTGCAGATTAGATGCATGATATGAAATGAATCCCAAGGAAAGATCCATGTCTTGGTATTAAATAAAAAAAAAAAAAAAAAACAGATTTGCTACAAATACGACAAGAACTGGGACAACCCTCCTGAAAAGCAATCTCAAATAATCCCCTTTGGTTTAGAAGTATTGTATGAAGTTCAAATCTAATTGTCCAAAGAAAACTCGAAGTAATCACACAAAACAAATTTCCATTTTACAACTACAATGACCTTGACCTCTGACCTTTTGACAGGAAAAGAAATCCCAAGGAAATACCTTTGATAAGATTATTGTAAGAAAACAAATTTTCTATTTATAGTAACAGTGACCTTGACCTTTGACCTGAAAAGCAATCCCAAGCACAAAATGGGTAGTAGAAATACTTTAAAACAGAAATTTAAAGTACAACAGGTTCTCTGGAAACAATAACAACAGGTGTCAAAGTAGTAGGGTGTGCAGAGTAGATAGCTACAGAGTAAAGTACAACAGGTTCTCTGGAAACAATAACAACAGGTGTCAAAAGTCAGGCACTGGACCAGGGTTAACGTCCTGAGATGGACAGGCAGTTTGGTAGCCCTTAGATATCAAGGGTGTGCCTCACGCACCTAGCCACTGTATTAAGTTTAAGCTTGATCAGCCAAAGTGAACTTAAGTCATCATGGAAGAGTCACTGCAGCTAACGCAGACATAGTAATATCTTCATGTTACCTTTGGCAGGCAAAACAAAAATCCGAACCAGTCTTACCAGACATGCACATAGGCACTAAATAACAAACTGACACAGCTTTTAGTGAGAAACATTTCATTTCATCTTAAATGTAAAGGAACAGGTCAACAGAAACATCTTTATACTTAATTTTGTTAACATGTGACTTGTTTCAGCCCATCAAAATTATTTCAACAATGCTGGGGAAGAAAATGTAACTGACCTCCTCCTTGACAGTGCCAAACTCAGGGTCAAGAGCCTTGAATGAGTATCTGTAGTTACCAGGTCTATCATATATAGACTTAAAATCCTTCAGGGTTATCTCCCCTAATCTGCAAGGGAAACAAATTATAAGGAAAAAAATTATAATTATCAACAAGGTATATCTTTTCATCACTGAGAATCTTAGCTAGTCTTTATGAAGAAAAGTAATGGTTATCTTCACAGGCTTAAGATGAAATTTATTTAACAACTAATCAGCATGGGTGACTGATATGGTCTAAAATATTATTTGTATTGAAGACAATTCTACTACAGATTTTATTTCAAAGAGATATAATTTCAGTTCAGTCTTCCAGTGTACGTACCTTTTTCGTATCGTGTAGGAGAATGGACTTAATGACTTGTCGGTGAAATATAACACTTTTGTGGCCTCCTTACCACTGACAGGAGAAGATGAGGTCTGCTGGCCACCACCATCTAAATGATTGTATGGAAAACCTATAAAAAGGAAACATTTAACATTATAACAACAACAACTAATAAGATGTTCAGGTAAACAAGAAAGCTTTAAAAAGTTCCCTTTACTGGGACTCTGGGATTCTAGGTCTAAATGATAAGTCTTGTGCTTTAATTTGCTTGGAGTGTATCTCAGGGAAAGTAGTTCTTTAATAAGGTCACTAACTTGCTCAGATATTAATACAGGGAAAACCTAAAAGGGAGGTAATCCTGTAAGATAACCTTTGTAGAGGGTTTTTTTTTTTTTTTGTGTAAACAGTTAAAATGGATGGATTGATTGAACCAGCAAGAAAAACGCAAAGTACATATCAGGACCAAGGCTGGACAGTTGAATATTCAGCACATACAGTGTGAGGGGTCAAGCCATACCCGTTCGAAAATAACTGAATATCATTAGTTTTGTGAATTTTAGCCTAAAGTAGGGCTGTTTCACAAACATATTTCTGAAAGCATTATGCTAATCAGTATGAGTTAAAACAGATGGTGATTTACCGTTTCATGCTTAAAAGGAAATTTTGAGCTTTACATATACAAGTTCAAATATCTGATAAATGTTTGTTCATGTGTCCAGATATAATTGCAGACCACCTGAACCTTGTCAACCAGGTATAGTGAAAGTGGCATAAGTCTAATTATATCAAATTTAAGGGAGGTAATCTTGAAAAAATATGAAGAGACATTAAAGGGAGATAATCATCAAATATCTAAGCTATGAAGGTTTAAGTCATCCTATTATATGCAGGTGATTGAAAACAACCTCCTCAGGGTTCACTTACTTGTATGACTACCTGGAATGGACGTGATTGGAGATCTGCGGACATCACCCGTAGAGTCAAAGTTGAGGCGTCGTGAGGTAACATCGAGGCCACTCTGGTATAACAATAAGAAAATGATGAGGACCTCAATATACCATTCATTCAATAATTTTGATCACCTAAACTTTTCATTCAATAAATAGAATATGTTCTAAACACAGGTCTCCTTTGACAGAAAGGGGTCTTCAAGTGGTGCCGAATCAGATAAAAAAATCTACAAAATGTCTGACCAAGCAAAAGAAACTAAACACAAATTCCTATCAAAGAAAAGAAACTAAACTTAAAGTCTGATCAAAGAAACAGCTAAGTATAAACTGTATGTACAATATACTATTTGTAGTCAGTTTAACGTTACATCATAAAGAAATAAGGAGACTGTACCTGTGAGTCACCTGCTGCAGAGCCGACTGACATCGTGATCTTATCCAGAAGTGCAGACACACTCTGTTCTAGTGTGTCTATCGTGTGCTGCTGGGGGTCTGTGCCCTTGAAGCTGAGTCGAAGGTTATGTAGTGAGTCACGCACAACCTGTAGTTCATCACCTGTCCCCTAGAAATATATCACAAATTAAAATAATAAAGGTGAGTCTTTTTATGTATGTATTGTGATATTCTTCACTATTCTTTATTTTTTTTTTATTCACAGACTATTCTGAATAAATTCTCAACAAACATAATCATGTTCATGAAATTCTGAGTTGCTTTGGGTTCTTTTTGGAAAATAAGTTAATCTAAATGGTTTTCCTTTACCCCATAAAATGTGCAAAGATTCTGAAGCAGTTTTTTGGAACCCTTTTTCATTTTAACTAGGTGAGGGAGATTTCTTATATTATATTAAGCAACAGATTTATCATTCTTTCAAAAGATCATAACAAAACACTGCACCAACTGCAAGCAGTATTTTCTTACTGCCTCAGAGGTCAGTGGTTGCTTCTTCTGGTTGTATGATAGTATACTGTACTATAATATTACAGAAAACCTGAAGTACCAAGATAATTAGTCACTTACTGTCTGAACAGAATTTTTACGTACAAAGCTGGTATTGTCGCTCCTATGACTACTGCCATCATCTGACGAGGACAGAATTTTACCCTCCAGCTGGGCCATTCGTTTATCCTGAGAAGCAACACGTGCTGACAAGTTGGCCTGTTAAACACAAAACTGAAAATCTCAAAACAGTCTCTAAGCTCCATTTTATGCTGTTAAAATCTTACATTTTTCTAAAGTTCAAATTTTCGTGATTTTCCATAAAATCCATTTTCTTTGATAGCTGATTTCATGGACAAACAGTTCTTATGAAATCCTCTAATGCTGAAATAAATTCAATAAAAATATCTTCCCCACAAAAATCAATAATTTTACAGCAAAATACATTTAAAGTCAACAAAAAAAACAAAGAATCTCATATATACCCGCTCCTAACTCTATAGAAATAAACATTAACAGAATATTATGTAGGCCGATTTAAGACCATTAGACCAAAACTTGCCCTTTGAAACGCTTTCTACAGATAGTGTTAGCAAACCAACAAATGTGCACTTTTTTAAATTGTAAACTTTGAAATATGGCTTTTTGTTCAACACATTTCAATTACAAAGTAATCATTCCTAACACAATACTACAATTATTAATTACACAGTCTAATCTTACATTTATAAACAGATTATTTGAAAGAAAAGTAACTTCATTAAGTCCTTTTTAACATTCCCTGGATTTAAAACATATTAAACATATTTTCAGAACACACTTATAATGTCATACTGAAGGAGAAAGCAGGGAAAGAATAAATGATCTTTTCCCTTGCACTGAATTTTTTCTTAAATGATTTTTTTTCCCTTTTAAATGTCAATGATTTGACTTGCAGAATTACTGACCCCTGTTTGACCTACGACCTTGAGCCGATCATGGAGTTCAGATATTTGCATCTTTAGCGACCGTGTAGCATTTTCTTTTTCCTGGATCTGTAACTGGACTTCATTTTGAAGATGGTCAATATGTTTATCTCTTCTCGCAATGTCTTTCTGCAAGACAAGAATTAAAGGTTACCAACAAATAAAGAACACTGGAGAGAATATAATGCTTATCACTTACTGAAAAAATATTGACAGAAATATCTATGACAGTCGATGTGACAGAAAAATAACAAATAACACAACGTTACCAAGTCTAATTGCAGGTTTCATCAAAAGTCACGGAAATTTTTATTTTTTATTTTCAAATATGGTATTAACTTTAAATATAAGGGTTCTTTTCTTAGTCATCTTATCTTCACCTTTAGAAGTGTTGTGACATGTTATGTATAAGTCTGTGATTTTTTTAATACAACAATAAAATTATCCCATTGAGGATAAGGTAAAGTTGAACAGCTTTGTTTAGGTGGCTATCATGTAAAAGTCAAAGGATTGTCAGCAACTGGGCATCTTTTCATGTCTGTCAGCTGCCCAGTAACTGGGCATCTTCTTATGTCTGTCAGTAGCCCGGCAACTGGGCAGCTTTTTATGTCTGTCAACAGGTCAGCAACTGGGCATCTTCTTGTGTCTGTCAGCAGCCCAGCTACTGGGCATCTTCTTATGTCTGTCAGCAAGCCAGCAACTGGGCAGCTTCTTATGTCTGTCAGCAAGCCAGCAACTGGGCAGCTTCTTATGTCTGTCAGCAAGCCAGCAACTGGGCAGCTTTTTATAAGGATTATCTGCCAACAGGTCAGCAACTGGGCAGCTTTTTATGTCTGTCAGCAGACCAGCAACTGGGCAGCTTTTTATGACTGTTTGCAGACCAGCAACTGGTCAGGTTTTGCACAAGAATACAAAGGAAATGGTAACGGACAAGTCTTCAATTTTGCCTTGAAATACTGGAAGGGTGCAGACAAGATACATGGTGTAAAAATCTCGCATTTTGATGATGATATGGTCCCTATATGTTTCCATTGCACCAACTTTCAAAATTACCTTTAAATCTACAATCAGTTTGTCTTTCTCTCGTAATGCTCGCTTCATTTCCGTCTGAGGATGAGAAAAGAAAAAATACCATGCTCAAACACTGACAACCAGATATCTATAAATAACACAACTTTGATTCATACAATGTTTTATGTACTGTAGTCAAATATTTGGTTATTTTTACAGTGTGGCAAGTTAAAGGAATACAGAACTTGTCAAATCTTGTAACAAAGTTTAACAAAGAAATACATAAAAGACCTGTCTTTCTACATCTTGTATATACAGCATACAATGATCTTACCACAACATTGTATAACATTGTATTCAGTCTGACAACTAGACAGAGCCTTAAACAGCCTACAATGACCTCATCTTACCACAACATTGTATAACATTGTATTCAGTCTGACATCTAGACAGAGCCTTAAAGCTGTGAGAGAAAAATATTACAGTCCTATAATCGACATGACAACAGAACCACAATATGGTACCAATACTTACTATTTCTGACTCAAATCGCTGATATTCAAAGTCAGCACGCAGGACCTCAGAATTGAGTTGTGAAATACGCTCCTCTTGTTCGAGAAGTCTCTGATTTAACCCAGCCTGAAAAAAGGAGTAGTTTTTGAATTTCAACATAGCCAGTCATCATAGTCCTACTCCTACTTATCGTCATGTTTACCTCTGTGCACAGAATGTGTATTGTGAACATTTGAGCTCTCATTCTGTACCTGTTAATGTTCGAGCTCTGAATCTATACCCGGTTACCTTTGAGCCATGAATATGTACATGTTTAACTTAAGTGCCCTAAATCTGTACATAGTCAACTTTTGTGACCAAAATCTGTACACAGTTAACTTTTGTGCCCTAAATCTGTACAAGTTTATCTTTGTGTCCAGGATATGCACATGTTTACTTTTTCACCTGTGTCCTAAATCTGCATATTTTTACCACTGCATCCTGAATCTCAGGATGTTTCAAACATAATTTCGGAACATTCAATAGAATGATCTTGTTTCTATAGGCATTGTACAACAAGCAGAATCTTCTCCTCAAATGATAACTGTTGTATCATTGTGCCCTAAATCTATATATGTTGGACTTTGCGCCCTGAATCTGAACATGTTCACTATTATGCTTTTGTACCCTGAATCTGTATATGTTTTATGCTCTGGATCTGTACATGTTTACTGTTATGCCTATGTGCCCTGAATCTGTATATGTTTTTCTTATGCTCTGGATCTGTACATGTTTACCAATGTTGTGCAGTGAATCTGTATATGTTTACCTTTGTGCCCTGAAGCTGCATACAATCATCCTTGGTCATGGAGAGCTCCTCCCTGAGGTCTTTACAAACCTCTGTGGCTTGGATGAGCTGACTTTTCATTATTACCTGTTGAAAAAAAAACAGCAAAAATTAATAAACCCCACAAGTTTTAGGATGCTTCATAAGTGAATGAATTAAGGAATTACAACGCTTTCCATTAGTCTGATCATTTATCAATAGGACATATAATCAACACAATGTGATCAACCTCACACAAGAAAAAGGAATCTTTGTTGTGATTTACCATCAATGTTTGTATGACACAATTCTGCCATTGATGCAATGAGAAAGTTTATTTTTTAGGAGGATGGGATTCAGACAGAACAATGTAACATCATTCCTGGGTTATATATTCTACTGAACAGTGACATCTATAGACTGACTTATTTCTAGACATGAGTCTGTCGTAAAATAATTACTCTTTATATTGTTGCAGTCTTCTAGATTTGAAAGCAAAAAACTCAAATCAAACATTTAAGTTTCCTGACATGATTGAATCTCTCCTAACTTACCATCTGTTCCTCTGGTAATGAGGATGTAGCCGTTTCTCCCCCTCCACTCTCCTCTCCATCTGGGGGCTCGCCACTCAGGAGCTGTGACACAATATCACACAAAGAATAATCTCACTGTTCAATGGATTAATATTCAGGATATCCTGAACTCAAATGTTGCCTCCGAAAAAATTTTTTATTAATGAATATTGAACAGGTAAACATCAACTATGTTTTGTCTTCTGTAAACTTGAAGAAGTGAAATAACAAAATGTTTCAGATATATCACGAAAGTAATGATGTAACATATACACTGCCGTCCATAAATATATTTTTTTTCTAAATATTTCAAAATTCAATAAAATTAATTTCACAGTTTCATATGATTTTTTTTATTTGATGACATGGTATCAGGGGAAATACTGTGATACTTGAGGAAATGAGGCAATGCTAAGTGGTCTTAAGATGTAAGTCTGTTATCAATTGTCTAAGATTACCAGGTCAGTTATCAGTATCACAACACCTACCAGGTCCTGAAGTTTGAGTAAATCTGTCCTGGTTTTGTTGATGGTGGCTGACAATCCTTGATACTCAGACAGGATTTCCTGACTTTGGCTGACCAGCGTTAGGTTACTACTGTCAGAACTGCTGTCCCTAGCTGAAGGACAAATGATTTTTATCAATTCAAGCTGACTTATAATGTCTCCTTTACAAACAACAGTTTTGAGTATGGAATTCATAGAATGTTTTACACTTAAAACAAAGTACTATACAAATCCTATAGTGACTTTGGCATTTGTAGTTTTAAAAATCAATTCTATTTCTCAACAAGTCTGGTGATATCCCCAAGGGCCTCACATAAAACCCTGTAAATAATATATCAGTGCTGGCTGTAAGACCAAATGATTCACAATTCAGAAAAGATGTTAATTATGTTTTTTCAAGATGGACGACATATCAGATATCAAATGACCAGGAGAAAAGCAATGCTTGATCAGGACCATCTAAGTGAATCTGTAGTAGGGAGCTACTGGCTGTTTATGATACCCCTAAATGCTCCTCATCCTTCAAAATATATCAGCCACAGCAAAAGACCTTACAGATATGAACTTACTCGAGATATAATCTGATGAACGGCTCTTTGAGATAACAGGTTGTGTGTTGGGTGGGTGGGCAGCGTTGAAGCGAGCACTTGGCAGTGGACTTTTGTCATTGCTGGCACCATCACCATCATCTCGTCGTCCCTTAAAATCGTGATCAGTGTGACCAAAACTGTGATCAGAATCACTGAACTGATCAGAACTGCTGCCTCCGTGGTATGTTCGCCTGTAATGTAACGAGGGATGAAATTAGCTTCCAGTCAATCAGAAACTGCATAAAGTTAACCAATCAGAAAACTGGAATCATTTAACCAATCAGAAAACTGGAATCATTTAACCAATCAGAAAACTGGAATCATTTAACCAATCAGAAAACTGGAATCATTTAACCAATCAGAAAACTGGAATCTGCCAATCAATCTGTAAACTGGAATCAATTAATATTTCAATATAAAAGCAGGAATATATATGCCTGGGTAAACTCAAACCAAGCAAAAGAAAATCGTTTTCTGGAAAATCATTGATGGAATTTTTAACACACATTCAGTTTCAGTGCTAGTTTCCAAATTTTCAATCTCTTTAATGCTTGCCAAGATTGTTAGATGAAGATTTACCCAGTCGTTTAAGAAATCTTCCAAATTTTGGTAAAACACTTAGTTTGGATTAGGAGTTGTCTCCCATGGCTCCTTCAAGAATAATTAGTACACTTATAACTAAGACAATACATCATATCCTAATATACAGCCAATTACATTTGACTTATGAATGAAAGTTTATTATTGTACATGTACATATTGTATCCAGTTATGAGACACATATTGTAGCTTGGTTTGAGATAGGTTCACAGTGGCAAATCTAGAAAGGAGGAATTTAAACCTCATTAAATATCATACATTCATGTATCATATTTTCTTCAAAATCTAAATGTATATCTAACTTGCAATAACCTTGGGGGTCAATACATAAATTCTGATTAAAAGTCAGAGGGAGTGTGTGTTAGTATAGGGATATATAAAACCACTGGCTTGTAATCTTACTACATGTATATGTATCTATTGGTGGGCTTATTACATAGACATATTACCATAGAAATAAAGTATTTGTACACATTCACAATTAAGTTGGATTCAAATTAACTTTAACTATCTCAGAGCCAAATTTTACACCACAACAATCCATCATAAAATGTTGATGCTGTGTCCACCCCCTTCCTCACCTACCCCTATCCTCCTACTTTCTACATATCCATCTCAACAATTGTATAGAAAAATCATACACAACCACTCTCTAGACATAGCACAAATTGGCCAGCTCCCAAACCTTATTAGTTTTGACCTGTAATTGTGACAGGGGGTCCCTGTTACCCTGGCGATGTGATTGAGAAGACCACTGTGAGCAGTTCCCATGATCCATCAATCATCCGCATCAATCAAATGTTTATATTACTGACTGGTCAGGAAGATTTTTTCCATAAAATCAAGCACATTCAATAAACTGATTTATGTAGTCTAAACTATGTTTGAATCTCACACGTTGCTAAATTTAGATTCAGAGTCATCCTTGAACTCAAATATATACAGCAGTCAGTAGTATAATGTCTCCTCATTATATCTTCAGATTTATTGCTCCATAAATTACTGGGTATAAGAGGCCGCTCCAAAAAATACTCAAGTTTGTCTTTAAAAATTTGAATTAAAATACTGTTTTAGCACATATATTAGAAATCAGCCTTTCATCTTCGACACTGTTAGGCAGAAAGATCTAAGTATGCTGTTTGTCGGTAAACACAGGTTCAGAATCAGCCCTTCGTCTTTAACATTATACTTGGAAAGATCTGTGTTAGAGTATGCAGTGTGTCAGTAAACACAAGTTCAGAATCTGCCATCTATCTTCAACACAATTAGGCAGATTGAATCAGACAAGAATCAGCCCTTAATCCTCCATCAGAATCAGCCCTTAATCCTCCATCAGAATCAGCCCTTAATCTTCAGTAAGAACTATCTGTGTCATTTCACATAGAAAGTCAGTCTACATAATAAAGCCTCCATCACCAGCACAAACAGCCATATATATTTGTGTCAGAAAAAACATTGTGTCAGTCACCTCCTTAGGATTAATCCATTTATAACAGAGAGATTGTATAACAGGTGTCTCTCATTCCATGTCAGCCCTCCAACATTTACAAAAACTATTAACAAGAATTCTAGGATCTGTTATCAGCTTTATATCTCGAACACAAATAACAACTTTGGTGTCAAAGTTTGTCAGTGAGCACAGGTTCAGAATCAGCCCTCTTCCTTTCAACACAAGTAGTCAGACAGATAGGTGTCAGAGAACACAGTGTGTCAGACTGCACAGGTTAAAATTCAGCCATCCATTTCCAACACACCACAAGATGGTAAGCACCAATGAGGTAAAACTTCCTCATAAACCTGTATTATAAAGGAGTGATAAAGACTGGTAGGAATTTACTCGTCTATCTAGCTGGAATGTTCAGTCACGTGGAGAGACTCATATTAATGGCTGCATCTAATCTCCTCAGGCAAAGAGTTACCTCCCTTGACAAGATAAATAAGCAGCTGCCCCTGCAGTCTGTGTGTAAGGCCAAAACATTTTCATGTCTGTTTACAGTCAAATCTCTAATGTTTTGGCAAGTTCACAAAAAATTGCTTGTATCCCTCCTGAATGATGGTAAAGCATTCTTTTGATTATTTCTATAAATTAATAATTTGGTTCGTTTCTTTTTTGTCAATATATAATTGTTAACACTTATAGAAAACAGAAGAACCAGACTTCACAGACAACAAGTCCTTGGAAGATAAAACAAGACAACACTTTCTTTCTTTGTTTCTTTTCCTTTTTTTTCACTAAAGGGATACTGGTATTAGTTTCCTATCAAGATGTGCAGAAACACTTTCTATCTTCAGCGTAAATTCTTATCAAAATAACCCTCACTTTGTTTTATCTTCAGCCTGGGTGTATAATACTTATCACAAGATACACAAGCCTCAGGCTATGTTTGTCAACTATGACATAGTAGATATAACACAGATGACCTCTGTACCTGTAATATACAGTAATTAGGTTAGGAGAAAGATTTCTCAGAATTCTAGAATTTTTCACTAATTTTTTTAGGCCAAACAAATATTTGTTATGTTTTTTAACTATCAGATCTCAAAACTTTAAGCAATAAGCTTTTATGCCAGCTAATAAGCCCACCAAAACTTCTATCAGTTAACTACATTTATAGAAAATTACTATCTTGTTGTCCTCTAATAAGCCCACCTATACCTCTAGCTGTTTAGTAGATTTATAGACAAATATTATTTTCTTGTCCTGAAATACCCCCCATTTACGTCTAGTTGTTCAGTAGTTTGTCCTACCATAAGCCCGCCTCGTGACCGTGAGTCAGAAGTAGGACCGCTGGGCTTATTACAGGATAAATGATTTAATGACAGAGAGGCCAAACATATATATACACAATCACAGTGACATGCCATATAAATGATTTTTAATGAATTTCTTTTTCCTATTTCAAAGTTCAGTTAAGAAGTCTCAGGATATTTTGCTTGTCTTTGGTGAAAATTTTGAAACAGGTGTAATTACTACAATCAAAATTGCTAAAGTTGTGTTCATTTTATCTTTGACCAAATCATTATTTGCAAATACATTGTATTACAAAAAATAACAACAAAAAAAAATAAAAACTTTGTGATTATGTCAATGATCTCAGTTCAATATCTAATTTCCACTGAAGTCATTCCATAACGTGCATGTATATGACATCATTTGATTATCCTTTTATGACATCACAATGGGTCATATAACACAAGTTCATAAACATGACATGTAAACTAAGTAATAAAGAAATGTCATTTAAAGGACTGTAAATGACATTGATCACAGGTCCATTAAAACAAAACACAGTGATATCAAGTCACAAATAGATCATACTTTGTTAATGTCAATTGCTCAATCCAGTCCAGTTTTACAAGGCAGTGTTTAAATCTCTACTAAATGTTGAAGAAATACAAGATTCCTGAAAAAACTACATGACACTACCCCTATCTCTTCCTGGCCTTTCATGGCATGGGTTTAATACAGGTCTTAATACTTTAAAACTTAGAAAAAACTCTCTTTCAGCAATATTGAGACCCTTCACCGACATCTAGCACAAAGTACAAGTATGTTTCATGTATGGATATCAGAGAACACTGCTGCCACCTACATGATAATGGTGGACACGTGTAACTTCATGACAAATGTCTGTACTAACAAACCTTGGTTCTTTCGCCAGCAATAACGTCACTGGCCTTTCCATGTACAACTGAATCGAAGGCTGAATAACAGTGATGAGAAAATGACACAGAGGAAATACACAATATGATGGACCTGGTCATCTAGATCCTAGTGTCTGCCATTACAGTTTTGGCAATGTCGATGTTGTATCACACCCGCACACAGAAATATTGATCCATTTTTGGCTGTACTTCAGTTCTAGTTACTCTAATGCAAGTACGTTCGTGTAATATTTTTTATTAGCTTTAGAGATCAGACATTCCAACAGAAATTCTGAAAGTCTCTCCATTATTCAGTAGTCACAGGGTAACACTTACATAAATAGCTTTATCAATATCTATTCTCAATAAATTCTTTGTTTTCATGACAAAATATCTATAGGTTTAATATAAATAAGATGAAGCTAACAAGGCTTTGCTTTGCTATCAGGCAGGAGAACAGGTGGTCTCTACAGCATTGCTGGCAATCACTTGTAGGAAACTGGCAAGCTCAATTTAAAAACAATTCTCTTCAAAGGCTCAAATGTGAACATTTCTTGATCACATGAATCATGTATTCTTTCCATCTCTATAGAATTCAAACATTTACACAACTTTGGGATGTCTATGGCGAAGACTAAACATACAAATTTCATTTTCTTCTATTTTCAAGCTAACAATACTCTAAGTAAATTGGGTGATAAAACCCTGCACTAAGTAATAACATTCAAATATGATAATATCACCCCAAATAACATACACCATGCTATAGTAATACTACAATAAAAACCATCATCTAATGCAGTGAATAACAAATTGTACTATAATTCTAGTAATCAATTACTTGATTATTCATCAACATACTCCCTAACACCAGCCCAAAGACTTAAAATGTATATCCACTGACCCTGATAACACACTACAGTAACCAATAGATGTATTTTGTGTATCTCTGACCCGGATACCACACTACAGTAACCAATAGATGTAGTCTGTGTATCCTCTGACCCTGACCTCACTACCGTAACCAATAGATGTAGTCTGTGTAACCTCTGACCCTGACCTCACTACAACCTCTGACCCTGTGTACCTCACTACAGAGTAACCAATATGTGACCCCACCTCACTACAGTAACCTGATGTAGTCTGTGTGACCCTGACCTCACTACAGTAACCCCACCTCACTACAGTAACCAATAGATGTAGTCTGTGTAACCTCTGACCCTGACCTCACTACAGTAACCAATAGATGTAGTCTGTGTATCCTCTGACCCTGACCTCACTACAGTAACCAATAGATGTAGTCTGTGTATCCTCTGACCCTGACCTCACTACAGTAACCAATAGATGTAGTCTGTGTAACCTCTGACCCTGACCTCACTACAGTAACCAATAGATGTATTCTGTGTATCTCTGACCCTGATACCACACTACAGTAACCAATAGATGTAGTCTGTGTAACCTCTGACCCTGACCTCACTACAGTAACCAATAGATGTAGTCTGTGTAACCTCTGACCCTGACCTCACTACAGTAACCAATAGATGTAGTCTGTGTATCCTCTGACCCTGACCTCACTACAGTGACCAATAGATGTATTCTGTGTATCTCTGACCCGGATACCACACTACAGTAACCTGACCCTGACCTCACTACAGTAACCAATAGATGTATTCTGTGTATCCTCTGACCCCACCTCACTACAGAGACCAATAGATGTAATCTGTGTATCCTCAGACCCTGACCTCACTACCGTAACCAATAGATGTAGTCTGTGTAACCTCTGACCCTGACCTCACTACAGTAACCAATAGATGTAGTCTGTGTAACCTCTGACCCTGACCTCACTACAGTAACCAATAGATGTAGTCTGTGTATCCTCTGACCCTGACCTCACTACAGTAACCTATAGATGTATTCTGTGTATCTCTGACCCGGATACCACACTACAGTAACCAATAGATGTAGTCTGTGTATCTCTGACCCGGATACCACACTACAGTAACCAATAGATGTAGTCTGTGTAACCTCTGACCCTGACCTCACTACAGTAACCAATAGATGTAGTCTGTGTAATCTCTGACCCTGACCTCACTACAGTGACCAATAGATGTAGTCTGTGTAACTCTGAACCGGATACCTCACTACAGTAACCAATAGATGTAGTCTGTGTAACCTCTGACCCTGACCTCACTACAGTAACCAATAGATGTAGTCTGTGTAAATCTCTGACCCTGACCTCACTTCAGTCACCCATAGATGTAGTCTGTGTACTCTCCGACCCTGACCTCACTACAGTGACCAATAGATGTAGTCTGTGTAACCTCTGACCCCACCTCACTACAGTAACCAATAGATGTAGTCTGTGTATACACCCCACCTCACTACAAACCCTCTGACCCTGACCTACCACACTACAGTAACCAATAGATGTATCCTCTGTGTGTGTATCCTCTGACCTGACCTCACTACAGTAACCAATAGATGTAGTCTGTGTATCCTCTGATTCTGACCTCACTACAGTGACCAATAGATGTATTCTGTGTATCTCTGACCCGGATACCACACTACAGTAACCAATAGATGTAGTCTGTGTAACCTCTGACCCTGACCTCACTACAGTAACCAATAGATGTAGTCTGTGTATCCTGTGATTCTGACCCAGTGACACACACAAACAGTTGAAGCCAAATACAATCTGGTCTTCTTAACATTTTGTCCCAAATTTCTTGGTAGTGATCAAGACCGTTCCCTTTGACTCTGCTGGTTTGAATGAAAAAACAAGGATTTCTCGTTTCTGAAGACAGGACTAGCATGAAACTTGTACTTTACATACTCTATCTTGAAGCAGAATGAGGTTTTCAGGGGTCAATGTGTCGCTTGTCGAAGGAGTATTCACATTTTTGTCAAATCCTCTTAGTCCCTATGTGGGCATCAAAGTCAAAGTAGTTGTCATTTTCAACATCACCCCTACTAATCAGACTTGGGGCATTTTGTAAACTTGACAGAGTTTCTAAAAATTAAGCTAAAAAGATATTCCCCCTAGCTGCATCGGTAGGAAGCAGCAATTTACTTGTGTCACACAAATATTAAGACTATACAGACGAAAGTCATACCTTCGTTCACTGTTGTTATAACGTGATCGGTTCCCACGGAAACTAGTTCCTGCCTTCGCTGCAGTCCTCCTGGCCTCCGCAAGAGCAGCTGATGCACCCTAAAGAAAAACATTGAATTTGCGTTGAACTTTTGTCAATCTTTTTCATATATTTATTCAGAATTTTGAAAATTTTAAAAAGAAGGTGGTAAGTTATCAAAAGACCTATGAGAGGTACTGTATCATGGCAGTATTGACTGATCTGACCAATGAGAGGTACTGTATCATGGCAGTATTGACTGATCTGACCAATGAGAGGTACTGTATCATGCAAGTATTGACAACTGATTTGACCAATGACAGAAGTCTTACCTGGGCAATGCCAACAGCATGAGGCGATCCTACTGTGGTGCGGTTTAAATGCTGTGTGGAATGTTTTACACTATGAGGTTTGAAGTGTGCCGCTATCGCCAATATCAGCCTCATTGTAGATTTGAGGTTACCTTCCACGATATCTGTAGGCAGAAAAAATGCATTGCAATATCATACTTTGAATGTGCAAATATGACAAATCTAACACCAGTATGTCTCACAGTCTCTTCAGTGGTATTATACAGGGTGGGAGGCAGAAATTGCTATAAATATGTAATGAAGAGTGGTCTTTCTCAACAAATTCTTCATAATGAAGGGTGGCCTTTCTAGACAAGTTTGAATTACTTTGTAAATGAATTTAATTAACAACAACTGTGTGACACTTTCCAACTAATCAATTTTGTTGGCCCAGATGGAAGTGCACAAGGGGTCTTACTGTAGAAGGAAATAGGATGACCCAGGGAATTTGAACCCTGAATGTCAAGGTGAAAGGTTAGTGTGTAACTTCTGCCTATATGACCACCCCAAACCTTTTACATAGATTTTTTCTCTACAGGATTAATCCTGATAAAGATACTTAACCAATAAAGTTTTCTGAATATAACTATAATCACATAGGACAATATAATTACGTGTAACCTATCAAGGTTTTCTGAATATAACTATAGTCACATAGGACAATATAATTACGTGTAACCTATCAAGGTCTCTTGGGAGATTTGCCAGAGAGGCATGTTACAAAAATATTGACAATAATCATACCGTAAATTTCCACGTATAGTGTGCACTTTTTCAAGCTAAAACTGTCATGTCAAAATGGGGGGTGCTCATTATACGCAGGAACATGCCATTCTTGGGGTTATCATTCGCGAGTTCTGCGTCCGCCATATTGGATTATTAAAAAAAAAATTGGTCATATTTGTACTTATTTTGGTAAAACTAGAGAATAAATTATGGTTCAATTTGATAGAAATATCACATCTGAGAGCTCAATGAAACTTAATGTGTGAAGATCTTTCCCTAAAAGCTTTCACCGTTTCTACAGTATGGGGTTCGGCTGTGTACAAGGCAAGTCTATGACCAGGAAGTAGTATTCCAGTAAAGATGGAGCCTACCTTTTGCCGAGGCATGATGCATGCGAATCCTGTTGGTGGACATGTAATGAAGAACCTTCTCAACATTTTCTTTCATCTCTCCATAGTTGGATGGCACTTGGTGAATCCCTGGCAGCTTGTCACCCGCTACAAATCACAGATAACGTCATTCTCAGTCTGTATATACCAACTCATGTGATATTCAAACTTTTTCCCTTTTTGTTTTTGGGGTGAAGGGGGTGGGGGTGGGGGTTGGTTCACCTCTTAAAAGAACATTAGTATTTTATATATTTGATTCATGAATGTTGACACTTGTTTCTACAGACTGTACCCAGTTATTTGCACTTTGATAATAACATGCCTTGCATAGAATGTGACATTCTAACTCATAAATGTTTGATATCTTAACGTGCAATTTTACATTTCTGATTTACTGATAACTACCAATAGACAATTTTCTTATCTTGATTTCATGTGAAAAAGTTCATATCATTTCTTATTGATTTCATGTGAAAAAGTTCATATCATGTAAATAAAAATGTGACAAGTAAAAGCATCATGAAATAAACAGGTATTCTAATCTTCAGTTTAAATTTAAGATGAAATTGGAATATTTGAGAGAAAAAGAAACATGTTCCAAATCTCATTTCCAAAAATTGTTAAGTAACTTAGTGTATACAGTAGGAATTTGAAAAATATTTGTTTTCCGTTATTGTTCTAATGTATAATGTATACCTACCAACGATTTCAATGAGTTCGGCCAGTATCACGCCATCCTTGGTGTCATTTCGGAGATCCTCGACCTGCCTCACCCCAGGCTTCTTCTTGAGTTGTGAATTGACCCAGGCTACATAGGCATGGAGTTGTTGCTGCCAAGACAAGAAGGGGAGGGGCCTGTTACTATAGTAACTGTAGCGGACACACCCACACACCAGTCTGTAAACCGTGAGGTCACACCCCACACACTGAACCACACCCACCTGAGCCATTGAAAGGTCAGTGGTCACAAATTCAAAAGTTCAAAAGTTATCAAATATTTTATGACATTATTTCAAATAAACTTTTGGTTGAGTGGATTCAATCGGCGTCATCCAAATATAAATTCAAACATCATCCCTGAATTTTATTCAATACCACTATTTCCACAGAACACCATATCCAACTGGTCAAGGTCACATCACTAAAGTTGAAATGCCTACATTATCAGGCAATGTGAACTTAACAACCTGAGTACTGCCATATTACTGGCATAAGTGCAAATGTCAAGGTTCAGAAACATTATAAAATATATCGTCAAGCATCCAACAGTTTCTTCTCATTGATATTGCCAGATGTTAATCATCATAAATCCATGATAAAATAGACAAATGTAGATTTATCTATGGGAAGCACTGTTTAGTCACACCTGAAATTCAAATGACAAATCCCTTAACAATTTCACTCCACTGCACATGGGCACCATTGATGAAACAATTTCTGTTGCTAAATGTCACAATTTAAAATGATATCCCAGTACAGAAAAATATCACCAGTGACAGAATGCCGTTCTACTATATGCTATATCCTTGTCCCACTCTCTCCACAAGTACTAGTGGTACACTAACACACACAAACAGTGAGGTGTCCCATATTCCTAGATTCCACATGTGTCTACCATACCTTTCACCAGCTATAAAAACATGTAATGAGCAGTAAATCTATCATCACCTGACTGACAGTCACCAGACATATACTACATGTATACACAGTCAGGGAGAGTCTACATTTCATTAATTAATACAAATTCAATGCCATTTTTATATCACATCACATTGTATGTATTTTGACATGGGTTCAAATGTGAATAAAACTTATGTGATAAACTACTCTTGTTGGTCCTATTGGAAATCAAATTTAAAACTGTGTTAATATTTTCAGCCAGTGCATTTGTGAATACACCTGTAAACCCATCATTGGTCAGATATCAGTTCAAACTCTCCTGTACAGTATAACTAAACAAAACAAAAAAACAGATAGAAAAATCCTGATGATCATCTGAAGTTTGAACTTCATGAAAAGTGAAAATCCATATAGTTCATCAGTAGCCTCCCTGATGAACCTGCCCAAAGCAATTTCTATGTATGTATATTTATGAGTAATCTCCCTTGAGTAATTTTTATTTGTGTTATATCTATGAGTAATCTTCCTGGAGTAATTTCTATTTGTGTTATATTTATGAGTAACCTCCCTTGAGTAATTGCTACTGGTGTAATATTTCTGAGTGATCTCCCTTAAATATTTCTATTCATGTTATATACCTGAGTTATCTCCCTTGAGTTAATTTCTATTTGTGTGTTATAATTTCAATTTGTTATATTTGTGAATAATCTTCCTGGAGTAATTTCTATTTGTGTTATATTTCTGAGTAATCTCCCTTGAGTAATTTCAATTTGTTATATTTGTGAATAATCTTCCTGGAGTAATTTCTATTTGTGTTATATTTCTGAGTAATCTCCCTTGAGTAATTTCAATTTATGTTATATACCTGAGTTATATCCCTTGAGTAATTTCTATTTGTGCTATATTCTGGATTAATCCCCCTTGAGTATACTCTAGTTGTCTTATGTTTCTGAGTGATCTCACTTGGGTGATCAGCATTCCAATGTATTCATCAAACATTCACCAAAGTTATCCAAGGAAAGTAACAAATTTTCTGTCTTGTTTTTACAGTATGATTCATCCTTCAGAACAAATAACCAGAGGTATAACACAGGTTGGTAAATATAAACAAGCTGTACTGTAAGAAAGTGATTACATGCTTGCAATGCATGCTGAAAAGGTTGTAAGTTTTGTTAGCTTTCAATTTCCAAAATCAAATTTTTGATGACACTAACATTTTAAAATATTAAAAGAAACTATATTTTAATGATCATTTACAACAATGAACAAATAAAAATTATTTTTCAATACAAATAGCTAACGGACTATCTGTGTGAAGAATAAATCGCAGGAGAATAGAGAGACTATTTTCATCCTAAATTATCCTACAATATGTAGACATCAATGTCATGCCTGAGTGACTTCTATTCCCTCACCATTGATCACAGATCTTCAATCAATGTAAATGTTTAAGATGTTATATGAGAACTTTGTTTGATACTAAAAGTAATTTATCAGTAAGCCCACTAGGGTGACCAATACAGCTTATCTCCATATCTATAAATAGATCCTTAGATCCTACTTATTGTTTCATAAACAACAAATTTCCGTGCAGTTAAACTTTAAATTAAATGTTCCAATATTTAATTATAATGGTTGCATAAAAAATTAAAACTTAATTCAGAATACTTCTAGGAAATATTTTCAACAGTGTCAGATTGAAGAGGTTTCACTATAGATCCCACAGAGTGTCATAATAGAGATACTGAAAAATGGATGTCAACATATTGTCACAACAGATGAATGTTGTTGGTGTCAATGGGTGTTTAATTTTTTATATAGAAACCATCAAATCATGAAAGACTAGATACAAGTCTAGAAATTGAACTGTTTATCAGCTGCTCATTACCAGTAGTTAGCTCGAGAGACCCAAATATAATTTAGTGATGTACCATATGTATAAGTGTTTGTATTCTATTTAAAATTCTTTGGCAACAGTGCATCTGAATGTCTAGTTATAGGCAAACTATGAAGAAGAAGATCTGGTTTATAAATATTTCAGGCTTGGTTGAAACCATTTACAAATCTCTAGTGAGTGCAATGTTCCAAGTTACATAAGGTCTGTTTCAAAATCTAGACATGTTGTTTTTCTCACCAATAAATAACACAAAGAGGGAGCTTTGCTGGCAATGCCAGTGATATGTAGATTGAGGTACATTTATATGGATCAAATTTCTAAGAAGTTGGCTTCAAAATCTAAACACTTTTCAAAATTTTTTTTACCATCCACAAATTACACAGCAGAGAATCACTGGGGAACTATCCTGACCACATATTTCATGATCAGCACTGGATGTAAACTACAGGTGTACACAATCACAACTATAAATACATTGTGCCTCCCGGAATCTTGTTTACAGTGTATATATACGCATGTGCATCAACATTTGCCGTCATAGCTAACTACATCACAATGCACTTAATGATATCAATATTCCCTGCTGCCAAGTTGGCTGTCAGCTTACTTGTCTCATTTATGAATGAAATATTTCTCTATAATAATTCAATAGTCTGGAGCTCTGTACCACATCAATAGTTTATGATAAAATGTCAAACGAAAAAATAAATTTTAAAAAATTTCTATAACCAGGCTGTCCAGAAAGAGATTTTCTCGACTGATTTAAATATTACAAAACATATCCTCGTAAAACAGGGTTGAAGGGTGATCAAGTACATCCATAATTTTATAAACATTTCATAAATCACATAACATCACATGGTTGCTAAATATACTAAACCACATGTACACTTTGTAAAGTAGCCAAACACTCAAGACACAACACTGATATCACAGATTAATTAAATAGGGCAGTAGTATCTAATGAATCCAGAGATGGTTAACAGAATTTTCACAATAATAACTACAATATATATACAATGTACCCGGTATATATATCTGCCTGTTTTTCCCAGACCCCTCAAAGTATTACAGAAACACCACAGTAACAGAACACCTTGTAGGTCTGTTATCACTATAAATAGGTATCAGTATCACTACTGAATCCAATTCCTTGTCCTCCCAAGATAATTATAATGTTCATTATGTACATTTGTAACTTTTGAAACATTAATTTTATAAATTACAATACATGACACAAAAGCTATATTATACCACACACACAGCTTGTAATGTTGCCAAAATTTAGGCAATAAAACATGTTGATGTATTCAGGAATGGTTAACAGAACTTCCCAATAATATGCGACACTCTATATCCATGCCTGTTTTCGAAGACTACCCAAAATATTGCAGAGAAACACTACCAACACTTTACAATATATATGACACAGGTGTGACAGGGAAGATGGTCCATTCCATGTAGATAAATCCCACAACAACATGTCACATGTAGAATCCCAAAATTATAGCACAGATACTACATCCCATATACTTTCTATAAATCCCTCGTTATTGAACACTTTGTAGAATTTGCAACACCACAAAAAGCACACATATATCATCCTCACATCAACCCGTCAGCAAGGTGAACAAGTTTTACTGGACAATTTGGGTCATCTAAGGAATGTAAGCTACAGGTATATAAAACGTACCGGGATATACCTACAACAGGTATAGGTATACATAGGGAGGCTTCTGTTCAACACAATGTAGGCATTCCTTCTCCGGTACATACACCCTCTAACAGTGTTACATCATCACCAGCCTACTGGTGAGATTCCATCATCCACACTCATAATACCTCCTCTGTCAATCAGGACAAAAGGTCAAATGAAAGGTTGGGTATTTGGGGAGAGGGGAGAGCCTGTGGATGAGAAGGGAGGAGGAGGGAGGTGGAGAGGCGTTGGGTTCAGAAGGAGAAAATTCAAAATAGTTTTCGTAATTTCTCAGAAGATGGGGATAGAATTAGTAATGAATCTGACTAACCAATTGGGGATTGGGGCTGGTGGGAGTAGAGGTGTGGGGGTGGGGAGGGGAGGGGGGTGGAAAGTGGGGAGAAGATGGGGAAGATGGGTATCAATACTGTGGAAAGTCAACAAGGATACTTAGGTTCCAGGGGTCTACATGTATAGAGATAGAGTGAAGGAAATGTGATGAGATATAGAGGATGAGTGACCTCATAATTAATGCCAAAGTCAAAAGGTCATGTGTCAATTCAAGACTAGCCTCTTAATTACCAGACATATCATAACAACAGACAGAGGTATCAAAT